CGCAAGGAAAAGAAAAAGTCGGTTACCGTACAGATGCAGGGACTGCAGCCTCCTCACCGATATTCCCAGGACATGCATTATGGATTGCCCCACCCGGCCGCTAGAGCCAACGCTTAATCCAAACTCCGAGAAACCTGTGAAAAGTTGAGAGACAAGAACGTGTTGTTTTCTCGCTACATGATTGGCTCACTTCAACCTCATCGTTCAACAATGAAGGGGAACCAAGAAGAGATTGAACGCGAGTCCAAATTTACATTCGAGTCGAAATCCGCCAAGTTCTTCTTATGCACGACAGTAAAAAAGTTTTATCTGACAGATTCTTTCGATGGAAAGTGTGCCGTCTTGGAAAGCTTGTGCTAGTTAAAACTCATCCAAATGCTCAAAAGGGAAAAACATCACGACAACGACCATCCACAATATCAAAAGACCGTTGCAAAATGATAGCTAGAATATAAATTAATTATCTGGGGCACCCGCACATGGTCTATGATTCTACTCAGTGGGGGACAGGCACAGTATGAATAATAGTACACAGCAGGTAAGTGGAGAAACATGCCGTTTTCCAATCTTGACAGGAAGCATGACTATAATTTACTATGAGGCGCCCCAATGAACATTGGTTTCGAGCCAGGGTATTGGATAATAGATCCGAGGAAGAATCAGGAAGTGTATGCTCTCGCTGCTCAGTCATGTCTCAAAGCAGACAACCTTAAAAGGCTACCGTGGCTGGCTCCGTGCTGTCCGATTTGGATATATACCTAGACTCAAAACCAGAGTGGGGGATGTGGCCTTAACTGTCGACGGATTTATTAATCAATATCACAATGGATACCTATTATCTAGATTATACGTATAGGATCAATGATAAGTTACTAGTTACAACAGTACCGGTCTAGGTAAGATACTTAAGAGTTACAAGCGAAAGTTACAGTAAAAATCTAGACCAGCAACTAGTTGCTGCATCGCTAACCCAAAGAAACAGTGATTATGTTAGTTAGTTACACACACTTCGTAACCTTAAAGCGATTCTAAACGGGCAAATTATTTGAATTTACTATACGAGTAAAGGCAATTTGTCTCGAAAGTCTGTTGCTACCTACCCCATAAGTAGATAGCAAGCACTAAGTGGTGCATTGATTTGTTTCATTCTCGCTCCTAAAATAATCGTCTCAACTCTCAAGTCACAAATGATTTTAGGTATCTCTAGCAAGCAAATTCTTTAGCTCGATCGATATTCGCATCACAACCCAATTAAACGTCATGCCCCTTCATTTTCTCTATGCAATTCCCTGTTCGATCCCATCTGAATTTTCTCGATTGGGTGGACACGTGACTGTACCTATTGCACGAATAGAGAATAGAAAATAAAGATCTCTCAATTCCATCCATAATCAGTTTGCCCTCCAGTCTCGACGGATCAGACTGGAATGGCCATACCTGCCTAGGTGAGTAAGGAATATGTGGCAAATTCAATCGAGTTCCACTACCGCCCCAGCCATATAATAAATCGAACAACGAAACGGCCAGAAGCAAAAAGACAAGTCAACTTGATCCAATAAAAATACATCCACCAAAGTGACTAAACCTATCTAAGTTACATTGATTTTCCTCGGTTTCTTCAAAAATCCCACCCAGATTTCTAAAAAGGTCCACTTTGTCCCCGCCGGAAAGTTTGGGGACCCACTTCGGAGTACTCCTACTTTATCCATTTTTTTCATGCTACCAATCTAGGATACTGACCTACCTGGTACATGAACATGGACCACCGTAGTGAAAAAAAAAGGAAGGCTATGATCTAATTCCCTTATTTAATTCATCTCCCCCCAATTGCTCTTCCACTTCCTTTTTCTTCATCGACTAATTTCTTCATTTCCCCCTTCATTGCCCAAGCAATAAGGGCTTCGTCGTCAAATTCCTCAAAACTCTCACTCTTTGAGGTATCGGTCGCCAATTCTCAAAATGGCGAATCCTATTCACACCCACGAACATCATAATCCTACCAATATGGGGATCATTGGTCTTCCTCATGGTCCGGAAACTGGTGATGACCATGTGTCGATATACGATCTGGGAGCTGATGAAGCTGTTTTCAACGAATTTCTTTACCCCGATGATATTTTCACAGCAGAGCATGTTTATTGGGCAGATCTCAAATTGACAGACAAAATCTCCTTCATCACTAGAACTGAGGGAGCTGATGCAAAGAAAGAGATCAAGGGAATTTTGGCAATGATGAAAAAGGACCCCCTCAGTCCTGTCAGTTGGTATTTCAGCAATGCTGTTCTCCCTGGTGCTGGTTTGGGTCTTGAAGGGTATGTCAACTTTCTTGATTTATAATTCCAATACTAATCATATTTTCAGATACGTTCTCTTTTCTATCGGAAACTTAGCACCCCTCTTCTCAGCTGTCTGGCCGCAATGCTGGAAAACTTTCGAGGTTTGTAGCGAGCAATGGACATATGCTGTCACTTACTTGGAAATTATCGGTATCATTGTTGGTCAAATCTTGGTCGGATACTTGGGTGACAAGATTGGCCGTCGTTGGGGTTTGATTCAAGATGCCGTCATTATGTTTCTTGGTCTGGTCATGCTCATTGCTTCTTGGGGTACGACTCTCAACGGCTGGGTTATTTGCTATGCCTGGTCATTGTTCTTCTACGGTATTGGTGTCGGTGGTGAATATCCAATGACAGCCACTGCTGCTATGGAAAGCGCCACTGCATCAAACCGCCAAACAACCAAAATGGACAGACTTCATCGTGGCCGCAAGGTAACCATGGCCTTCCTTATGCAAGGTTGGGGTCAATTCTTCAATCAAGCCATTCTCATCCTCTTGCTTCTCATTTTCCATCATGGAAGCGGAAACCCACCTTATTCCCAAGTCTCGGCACAATGGCTGTTCAGAGTCTCATTCGCCATCCCCGCTGTCGGTACTCTCTGGCTTGTATACTACCGCATGTATAAGATGCCTCTCATCTCCAAAGGACTCGATATTGCCAAGAAGACCACAAACGTTACTGGATACGACAAGGAGTCTCTGAGCTTGACAGTAAAGCATTTCTCAGGTCGCTTAATTGCTACAGCCGGAGCCTGGTTTTGCAACGATGTTTTCTTCTACGGCAACAAACTCTTCCAATCCCAATTCATCAAGGTCATCTCTCCAGGCTCGACTTCAATCATGGAAGGGTGGTTATGGAACTTATGTAACGTCGGAGTATCTCTTGCCGGTTATTATTCCGCATCTTTCCTCATCGACAACAAGCTCTATGGACGAAAGTGGATGCAACAAGTTGGATTTGCCTTGGATTTCATTCTTTTTGTCATCCCAGCTTTCCATTACGCCCATTATACTAGTATCGCAGGTATCAAGTCATTCCAGGCCATGTACTTCTTGTCGTCCTTCTTCAACCAATTCGGTCCAAACAGTGTTACTTTCCTCGTCGCTGCAGAGGTTTTCCCAACACCTATTCGTGCCTCCGCACATGGATTTTCAGCAGCTGTTGGTAAATTGGGTGCTTTATTCGCATCGGTTCTTTACAATTTCATTACAACCCAGCAAAAGTTTTACATTGTCCCATGGTTCGGTCTTGCTGGTATGCTCCTCACCGCTGTCTTCCTTCCAGATACCACCGGTCTCGATCTCAAGGAACAGGAACGAAGATGGAAGTATATCAGATCCGGCAGGGAATCCGAATATCACGGTATTGCTATTCATCCAGCACATTTGTCCCTATGGGAAAGATGGATGAAGGCTGGCAAGAACTATGATCCTAAATTGGATGCCGGAGACAAGATTCTTGAGATGCGCCAAGAATGGGAACTCAAGCAAACCGAGAAGGGAAAGAATGAGGAGGATATCGCAACTTATGACGATGATTGGAGCCAGGAAATTCACCAATATTTCCGTTCTGATAACAGCCCGAGAAGAACTCGCGCGCCAACTCGTGTAGAGCCGATTTCCGAATCTACGAGTGATGAAATTACGAGAGAGAAGTAGCCATACATTTGTTAATTTCTTGGGTTTCTTACGGCGTTTTGGGTTGGTATTTGGACGGGAGATTCCCCCAGAAACTTGTACAACTTGATGTTGGAAAAGTTGTTTATTCATATAAATATTTATTCATAACGATCACACTGGCTTGCATGCCTTTGGTGGGACGAGATACATAGAACCTAATGATGAAGATTTGATCTTACAATGATTGTCGTCTCACTTGTATCCAATTAATGTGATTATGCCTTTTCAATCCGGATTTGACAATAAAATTGTCCTTGATTCAAGCTTAGCTAACAAATGTCTATCATGCACACTTCTATAGTGTATTTTAACGTGCAATTCAAATTCACATGTCATCATTTTGTTCATCGATGACATGTGAATTTGGGCCGGTGAGTGCACGGCCCCATCTGTGCCAATGACTTCACAAACACATCTTGAAAGTTAACAACCAGATGATAATGATAATTTTACATTCTTCTGCATCGATCGGAATCATGAAGATCAGTAATGTCATCGGGAACGCTTATTGCGGGATCTTAGCTTGGTCATCTTTCATACGTGAGATGAATACATGCAGCCACAATCACGTGTGGCCCCCAAAACCTCACGATAAGCGTTCGAAGTACCTTCTGTGTTTGTTTTGAACATACATGATGGTGTGTTCATCGAGATGGGTTGATTACTTTTATTGGCTTGTTGTATACAGGATAAGTAAGCATGTAAGGCTTACACACCTTCAGCACTTAATCGAGTATCTGTTTGTGCGGCTCTGAGCTGCAAGGTTGTACGTAACCTGGAAGATGGTTACATACCTAGGTAAGATGGGCTTACATTGAGGCTGCTCATGAGATGAACGAATGATCTGAAGACTTCTTTTACTTATCATTGCTCTACAATTCCTATTCAAACCTAATCAAAACCAATCAGTCAATCAGTCAATTAGAGCATATTGCTATATTTCTTTATACATGGTTTCCTTGCATACCTACGTGCGACAAAAATGGAGATTCGTGGTGGAACTGATTGGCATAGAGATTCGGAAATCTCAATGGTTCAGTTGAGACTGCCCAAGACTTCTCCCTCCACTAGAACCTCGATTGGCGATAATGAGGTTCAATCGCAAAATTTCGTGCCACATAGCAGCGCTGAAACATCACAAAGTGAGCCTGCTAGACTCAATGGCCGCCCAAAATCGGAAATAGATGAATTACCTTTCAAAGGAAGTCCCTCTCTAGGACAGAATCCAAGAACTACAGAAGTCGAGTGAGAACACTTTCTGCTCCCAATAAATGCTTATGACTGATGGAATGACAGCATAATCGGAGTTCCTGCTATTGGAGGAGATCCAGAGATAACATGGATGTCTGAAGCTAAATTCACACAGGATGGGCTCTTTCCACTTGATAATGATAGCGAGGTGAAATCGGCATTTATGAGAATGACTCCTGTGTCACCAGCTTACTCGATAAAAAACTTTCATAAAAGGAAGCCTGCGTGGATTGTCCGCGATATTCGTAGCCACAAAGATCTGAGCATGGCTCGAGTTCTTTTATATGGTCATGGGTACCCGAAAGACGGTGATACATTGAAGCAATTAGCCAGTAGGCTTTTGGATAGCGTTAGGAAGCTAAGGTCAATTGAGGTAGGAAGAGCATGGTATTGGTCGATACCTCACCTCGAATTGTTGCACCCGTGAATTACTACAAGCCCTTACCTGACATATACGCAGAAGGAAGATCGTCCTCTTTTTTTCATCTGTCATAGTACCGGGGGCTAGTGCTCAAAATAGCTCTAACCGATGCTCGAAGGCGAGGAGATCCAATTCTTCATGATTGTTATGGTGTCACTTTTTTCGGTATGTCCAAAAAGGAAGCCGATAAGGGGCTTACCCATTCATGAAGCTAACGCGATCATAGCAACGCCACACAGAGGTTCGAGCTATTTATCGCAGCCAGGATTCTCTGGCAGTATTCGCACGATCATGGGTCTATCACGGGAACTCCCAATATCCATAACAAGGCAGCTGGAACTGGATCACGATTCTCTGAAGCAAATCGGGAAAGACTTTAAAGCTCTAGCCACGGAACTTAAAGTGTGGACCTTTTTCGAAACAATAGATTCAAATATTACCGGTCCCGATCAAGGTAAACCATTTCATGCACCTATCACATCTATTAAATCCGCAATACTTAATCTACGTAATGAGAGTGTATACCCATTGGTGAGCACTCATACAAAGTGCGCCGCGTTTGGCTCCACGAATGGGCATACTAAAGAAGCTTATTTGGCGGCGCTAGCCGCTGTGGTCAAGCAGGCTTGTAAATTAAGTAAACTCACACACTTTGAACTAAACCTCGAGCGCAGAGTGGAGGTGGAAATCAACGGCTTTTATGAAGGCTCTGCTACAATCCCAACCAACGAGCCCCCAATCAGAGTCTGGTCAACCAACAGATCTCTGCACGATTTTAGACGAGCTGGTCCGACGCAGCTTTTGAAGGAACGAAGGGAAGAAGTATCAGCTGCCCCAGGGGCCGGACAGTATTTACGTCACAATACCCGTGCTCCATATTTGCCTATAGACAAGATCACTTCCGATGCCAAGATCAAGGGTCATGCGTTGATTCCTAAATCAACATCGAAATTGAACCCTTTCAAGAGAAGTTCAAGCCCTTCTCCCCAGACTCGACGAGTACCAAAGGTCAAAGCCAAAGGATCGCCAGATATGACTGAGAGTAGAAAAACAGGATCAGTTCCGTCTCCGCCTGCTTTGGTAAATGTTACTTTTACACTAATCGGTAAAATGAGGCTGACCACTGATACAGATAATGACCTCCGATGTAGATGACATCGCAGGTATAGTTCCAGAAGAAGTAGGGGTACCTACAAAACTGCGTGATCCATCCCCAACCGCGCAATTAAGCTCAAGCGATCCTGATGTTGCCAATTCCACATCTCGTATATCGTTCAAACAGCACAAAACATCTCTTGACCATGAGTTGAGCATTGCGCAGGGCTCACAGCCATCCATTCGAAAGTCGCGAACCGAGAACGAAGAAAATTCGACTAGGCCCGGGCCTTTCCGCAGGCACAGCGAATCTCTGGCGGTTCAAAGTTCTTTCTTGAGTCCATCGCGTGCCGATCTTCATCAAGATAAATCCTCATCATCCGCAGGACGTGAAGAAAGCGGAATTGTTCTCACTCCCAGCGTGCCTCCTTTACTGGACCCTAGTTTCTCAAAGCTCAAGCTTACATGGATACACGTACCGTTCAACAATCCCACTTGGGTCCCAGTAAGCTCTCAATTTCCCAGATTATCTCTTTCTACTGACTCAAAAGGATGTTCTTGAAAGAATATCAAACGAAAAGGGGCCAGATGTCCACAGTAAAATGTTAGATCACGAGCATTGGCATTCAAAACAAGTACGTGGAAGGCATCAAGAACATCATCATGCTTGTTTCTTAAAGCCTCATTGTTCTTTTTTTGGTTTAGAAAGTGGTAAGTCTATTCTCTTATGTTAAACACGTCTACTTACGCACGTTTCAATTAGTGTCACCATTAGCATCTCCTAAAATTGGCATTGGTTCTGTCGACATGAATCATGTTCAAATGTGCTTATATTTGCCTTATCTTCACTTTGATACCTATAAGGTTCTTGTGAAAAGGAGAGCTTTCGTAAAACAACGAATCGAGCAAGGTCGATCGAGACCTGTTCCTCAACAAGTGTCAAAGCTTGACTCGCAAGAGATTCAAGTCCTTTGGCAGTACCTGGGACACGACCCTCCAATAAATGCTCGGCGTACACTAGATCAATTTGGATATCCAAGTCTTCTCGATACAAGGGCGAGAGATGATGATCAGATGCTGTATAAGATGACCAAAGAGCGACATACTAAGTCAAACGGTACAACAAATAACACTACTGATGGACAGAACAATGTGGCTCGGATGAGGAGAACAGCTCAGGGAAATGATAAGGAAGATGCAGTCGATGAAAACAGCGACGATTCCGACAACCCAAGCGATAGCGATACGATGTCTGATGACGACGTTCTAGATGGGAATGTTCTTATGGTTGATCAGCTCTGGTTATGGGTCATTGATGGTATGTACATCTGAGAGGCAAAGCTTCAAAGACTAAATATGGTGATTAGGGTCTGTTGTTACTTTCTTCTCTAGCGTAAGATACTTTCACACTGAGTTCGTTGATGTATCAAGCATTTCGCTAATTTCAACCCAGAGAGCTGGGCTGAAAACGGATGGAAGACTATTTCAACAAGCCGACCTTCGAGACAGCATTTTTAATGAAGTCAACGCTGATCTTACTTCCCGCTGTGAAAATTCGTATGACCTTGCAGCCCGTGAGCAATTCTTCTTCTGTTTTAAGACTCCTCAAAATCTAATTTTGTCTTAAATATTTAATATGTTACAAAATCCCTTTGTTTCAAGCGGCTTCATCTCCCTTGCTACTTACACTGGAGATTATTTTTCATGATTAGGTAATTACTGACCCCCATCCTTCAGTGGTCGCCCTTCATGCAGTCACTATCTTGTTCGAACGAACTTCGCATCCTAACTTGGAAGTCTTCCGAATATTTGAAGAGGCAATCAGCATTCTGGCAAGTCTCCTTGTGAATGACTTTATTCTTCTATCTCTAATTAGGCAATTAGACTGAAAAAATGACAACATCCTTCAAAGATTTCCGTGCACGAGGTTTCCGGGCCAAAGCAGATGATAACGACGACCTTAGGACCAGCTCTATTCGTGCCAAGCATGCACTTGAAGGGAAGATTGCGGAGGAGCAAAATCGTGAAAACACATCCGCTCTCCTGGAACTCCGAGATATCGAGGATGAGCTGAACACTTTAAAGACCTTGTTTAACGGACAAATGACAGAGATTAGAATCATGTTAGATGTTTACGAGAAGCGAAAGTTGACTACGAATGGGCTGGTATTCTTGAGGAATGCTGAGGAGTATCTCGAGGAATACACTCAGCATGTAGAAAAAATGATGGAAAACGCAAAGAATACTAGAGATGATGTATGGCTGTTCCCCTTTTATTGAAGAAGAACAACAACTGAGATGATACAGTTTGATAAGCTGCTCGGCATGATACAGAGACAAGCACAGGTAAGTGGGATACCGCAACTATCTGATCAAAGGTACTAATTATTGATACAGGTGGATGAGGTACGCCTGGCAAGATACCAGGCTGATCTTGCCAGTGCGCAGAGCAGATCTGTTATGATATTCACAGTGCGTTTATCTATATATTCGTGATGAGCTGAGTTAATTTGTATTGAGAATAGGTCTTCACAGTCATCTTTGTATGCTATCTACAATAACATCCATAATCTCTGAACTAACCTCTTGCCATTAGCTGCCATTGAGTTTCTTCACAGGCCTCTTTGGGATGAACGTCCGGTGGGTTCTTCTTTCTCTCTCAAATCATGCTTTTGCCATATCATAGGCTAACATCACATCAGAGAATGGGGTGGTGGTGACTACCTTCCTCTTCGCACTGTAGGCGTAATCGCAAGTATGAAAAGTTTCCCCCACTCGTTCCAAAAGATAAAATTAACAGAATACCACCCCAACAGTCCCAACATCCTCTGCCCTTATAACGCTTGCACTCATCATTGCCTGGAGTATCCGCATTCGTCATCTCTTTAACTATATTGGAAAAAAGCTTTCGCATATCTACACTAGTATACACGAACATGTCAACAAAGCCATCGAGGGAATTCTTGAGACTGAGAAGGACTTTGGAAGAAGAAGCAAGTTGAAAGGATTGAGGCAAAGGAAAAAGAAGAGAAAATTGGAAAAGGAGCAGACGAGACTGCATGATGAAGATTGGGATTTCTGGGAAAGTCATAAAGAGCGTAGGGAGAAGGACTATAAGATACCGAACAAAAATCGGAAGAGTGGGCTCAGTGCAGAGAGCGGTATTGAGTGATAGCGATGGCTGATTGATCAATCCTTATCTATATTTAATATGTCGTCGTTACGAGCAAAATGCCATATTCAAACAGAAAGGACTCTCATTGCGCGAGTATTCTGAGTAGTCTTCACTGACAGAGCCGAAAATTTGTATTTTCTTTCATTGTTCGAGCGACATCTGTTACTCTGTGATTGTTATCGACGTATAAAGATTAAATAGTGGAATAAAGGCTATCATACAATACTCGATAGAATGAAATATATAGAAAAGTTTCATTGTCTTTTAAATGAGTTTTTTGAGGGAAGAGTGGGCCACTTTCATCTCAATTTACACTTTCAAGCACATATTATTCAACAACAATTGAATCAATTGATTGAAAATATTAGGGATCTAATAATCTAGGATCTATGACATCATCTTGACACGTTCTTGAATTATGACGTGGGTTTCCACACTTACTACAGCATCTATTAGAAGATGCTTCCCTATTAGGATTTTCCCCATTTTGACGCTCGTCGCGTTGAATCTGAATATCAACCTCTTGGTGAAATGATATATCTGTTGCTTCCTGTCCAGTAAGTACTCTTCCTTGACGTAATTGAATATTTTTTGCACATCGATATTTACTTAATACCTCATTTGCCTTTCGAAGTGTACAAATCTCTGCACTTAAAAGTGTATTCACATGTACTGACCTCTCTGTATTTTTAGCTAGAGCCAGTACATTTTCAAATATAGGTGTAGGGGAGCTTGATTGATGACGAGCCATTCGAGATTTTACTAAAGTTGATTGAGAAAGAGCTTCAGTTGGATTGTGAGGGGTTCGAGAGGTCCAAAGATCTAAATCCAGAGGGGGGTAGGTGTATGAATTCGAATATCTAGTTTTGAGAGTACATAGCTTCAGGATCAAATGATGTTAGTGTTGGTTTGAGGAAGATACAGATGACGTAGCACCTACATGGGTAGGTCATAAATGTCAATATTGCATTCTGTCTAAAGAGCTAGCTAACTACTAAAAGAAACAACCCTTATATGCTACGAGGCTAGCCCTTTCGCTTAGTGTACTACAGTAGCCTAATGACTTAAGGTCATTCACCTACGTCCATACAATTAGACCTGCTTTTTGGGAGCCAGCTTTCATATTCTGAGCTGTGATTGATTCTTGATATGCAGCTTTGGAAGTATTGTTTAAAAACAGATTAACAATATAATATTTATCTCTTTTAAACCACTTAAAACCAGTTTATATAGATCGATTAGATAAGATCCTGTAGGAACGTTTAGTCCGGAGTGGCCGGAAAGAGAATAAAGAAAATATTGATTCTTTATTAGTTCTTTCATTTTGAAAGGAATTAGACTAATCTAATTAGTACTAAATTAAATAAAGAATATAGAAAGGCTTTATTCAAAAGAATGACCGCATTAGGAAGAGATCTACAAGAGATCAATGAAAGCTAGAAAGCTAGATTGAATGGAAAAAGTATAAAATAAGACTTTGTTCCCTTGAATGTAGAATAACCAGAATGAATATACCTTTCAATTTCAATAAAATCACGTGTCACATTGCTTATATAATCATTATTAGTTGTCAACCAGAGCCTGCTTCCCATTTGGACTAAATTATTAGTCTAATCCTCTTATAAATACATTTCACCATTGTCTTGCTGTGTCGTTATTATCTAAGCTACTTTCAATGACTTTGCTAGTTCATTACGCTCTGATTCGCTGATACCGTGCTTCTCTTAGCATTCTTGCAACTCTCACAGATTCTGTCATTAGGTCATCATGGAATTCGTTAGCGATCTATTCACCACTGTAAAGGCGGGAATCTTTTTGGCTCCAGGGCTGGATGTCGAAGAGGCTTACCGTTCTATAGTAAAGTGATGAGCTATGAGGATAATATTGAGATATAAGTGAGAGCATAATGTAGAGGATATTATGATGTACATTGGAAGTGAAATCAATATCACTTTTCATCTTTACCAGCACCAACCGGCAAGCTCGATTGAAATTGGCCGATAGCTTAGTAGGCTTCTACAGTTCGGTACTAGTGAGGAGAAGAATAGCTGTGCAGGGTTATTGAAATAGCGATCGATTCTGGTTCAGAAGTCAAAGGAGATATCTGATCTGCTGCTTCTAGTTACATTACATCAATATCTTTAAGTTATTGATAGAACTAATAAGAGAGAAGCCCTTGTGGCTTATCTAATATTCAGCCATCTTCCTAGCTTACGGATTTTCTGCTTCAAAGACTTCGAATTTGCTACTTCAAGCACTGTAATCTCATTTCGAACTACATTCAACTCAATAGATGTAACTTGCAATGCTTGAAGCCGATCTTCAATTTGCCTACACCATTTCGAGGAAGGCCCTTGAACATTTGTGTATCCAGACAATGCTCGATTATACACTGCTCTTGCGATGTCTTTCCGGCCCGTTTGCGAGAAGAGATCTCCAAGGTAGAACATAGTATTCAATGCTGGTAGATAAGATGAGGCAAGCTCAGGGCCAAGAGTGCCCTCGTAGCCTTTCAGCGCTCGAAGATACATCTTCTCTGCTTCTACTAGCTTGCCTTGATTAAAGTAAAGGATGCCTAGATTTTTGATTGTTAAGAGTGTTGATGTATAATCTAGTCCAAGTGTTTTCTCTTTGCCTTCTAATACTCGAAGATACATCTTCTCTACCTCTACTAGCTTGTTTTGATCAAAATAGAGAAGACCTAGATTGCTGATTGACAAGAGTATTGATATATGATCTGGTCCAAGTGCCTTTTCAAAACCTTTCAATGCTCGAAAATTCATCATCTCTGCCTCTGCTAGCTTGCCTTGGATTTTATAAAGGATACCTAGATTGTCAACTGTACCAAGTGTTGATATATAGTTTGGTCCAAAGGTCTCCTCATAGCCTTCCAATGCTCGAAGATACATCTTCTCTGCTTCTACTAGTCTGCCTTAATCAGAATAAAGAATACCTAGATTGTTGACTACTAAAAGTGTTGATATATGATTTAGTCCAAGTGCTTTTTCAAACCCTTTCAATGCTTGAAGATTCATCATCTCTGCCTCTACTAGTTTGCCTTGGTTTTTATAAAGAAAGCCTAAATTATCAACTACACCAAATATTGATATATGATCTAATCCAAGTGCTTTCTCATAACCTTCCAGTGCTCGAAGATACATCTTCTCTGCTTCTACTAGCTTGCTTTGATTAGAAAAAAGAAGACCTAGATTGTTGACTATACCAAGTGTTGATGTATAGTCTGGTCCAAGTGCTTTCTCATAGCCTTCTAGTGCTCGAAGGTACATCTTCTCTGCTTCTACTAGCTTGCCTTGGTTAGAGTAGAGAATACCTAAATTGTCGACTGTACCGAGTGTTGATATATGATCTGGTCCATGTGCTTTCTCGTATCCTTCCAACGCTCGAAGATTCATCTTCTCTGCCTCTGCTAGTTTGCCTTGATTTCTATAGAGATAGCCTAGATTATTGACAGTACCGAGTATTGATGTGTGGTTTGGTCCAAGTGCTTTCTCATAGCCTTCTAGTGCTCGAAGGTACATCTTCTCTGCTTCTACTAGCTTGCCTTGATTAGAGTAGAGAAAGCCTAGATTGTTTACTATTAGAAGTGTTGATATATGATCTAGTCCAAGTGTTTTCTCATAGCCTTCCAGTGCTCGAAGATACATCTTCTCTGCTTCTGCTAGCTTGCCTTGATTAGAGTAAAGAAGACCTAAGTTATTGATTATACTGAGTGTTGATGTATGATCTGATCCAAAGGTCTTCTCATAGCCTTCTAATACTCGAAAATACATCTTTTTTGCTTCTACTAGCTTATCTTGATCAGAATAAAGAAGACCTAAATTGTTGACTGCTAAAAGTGTTGATGTATGATTTGGTCCAAGTGCTTTTTCAAAACCTTTCAATGCTCGAAGATTCATTATCTCTGCCTCTGCTAGCTTGCCTTGATTTTTATAAAGAAAGCCTAGATTATCAACTGTACCAAGTGTTGATATATGATCTGATCCAAGTGTTTTCTCATAGCCTTCTAACGCTCGAAGATACATCTTCTCTGCTTTTGCTAGCTTGCCTTGATTAGAATAGAGAAGACCTAGGTTGTTGACTATACCAAGTGTTGATGTATGGTCTGGTCCAAGTACCTTCTCACTATCTTTCAGCGCTCGAAGATACATCTTCTTTGCTTCTACTAGCTTGCCTTGATTTCTGCAAAGGTCGCCTAGCTTGTGAAACTCCCAATATAGTCCTTCTATATCTTCCTTGACGGCTTCTATATAAGAGTCCTGTCGTATTGCGTGTTGAAGGAGCCGCCGCTGTGAAAGCCACCAATACTTTTCATTTGTATCAGGAACCTTCGAGGCCACACAGATTAAAGCCATACATGCGAAGCTCTTGTCCCACTCCTTGTTAAGCACAAACACTATCCATGAGTGAACACAACTATGCACACTATACCCTCTAGCCCCGGTCTGCTGCTGAGGAGATTTGTCTAAATCGACCAGTCCGAAGGTACACAATAGAGTGATAGCCTCATTAAAGTTCAGTTCATCTTTCGTAAGTTTCTGTATCCACTCATTGTCTATAGAGTTTCCATGCCGAAGGAGGTCAAACCACAGATCCTCTCGATGAAAATATGCCCATAGCTTGAGTAGTTGTGCTGATGCTGGATTCTGCCGTCGGATCCGATCGAAAGTGATCTGCCATGTCGTATATAGGGTACGATCTACATAGGAATCCAATAGGGGACTTGTTGTCTGAAGCTTTAGCCATGATGTCTTGTAAAGCTGAAGATACTCCGAGAAGCTTGTCGTTACGTGCTCGAGATATATCCCTGCTGTAGATAGAGCAAGTGGCAGGCCATCGAGTTCCTTGACAAGTGCTATAGCATCAGAATCTGCCTTATTAGTATCCTTTTTGCTCCTACTATTCATTATACTGACATACCCTTTTCAATGCCCTTACGTCCTGACATGTTAGACACGATCTCAAGACCTTCTCTGATATCTAGCAGTTTCTGAACATGAATTCGTATACCCTGCCTGACTTGCGATGACCGTGTCGTGATAATGATCGAGCCATGATCAGACCGGGGAAGGAACTGACGTATATCGACTGCCGAGTTGTCGGGATTGTTAGAAGTCTTAGGATTATCCAAGTTATCATAGATCATTAGCCATCTTGTGTTCTGCGGGGAGTCAAGCCAGTCTTTAACCACACTGACAAGTTGATCGAGATCTTTATCTTGGTCTACGCTAGATAGTACAGTAGTGGAAGGATATCGTCTCAGCACCTGCTGAGCAATGTCCCGGAAGCTCAGCTTGAGTGAGTCTTCGTCATTCGCATTTAGCCAAAAGATTGCTGTATACTTTTCCTTGTGTCGTCTGGCATATGTGATCGCTAGCTGAGTCTTTCCCATACCCCCAAGACCATGCAGGACAATACAAGATCGACTACTATGATCTTGGAGCAGCTTGTGCATTTCCGACAACTCCGTCTCTCTAGCGACAAACTGTGTAGCTTCAGGAAATGATGCGAGGTTGAGCCCGACAGCATATTGCTCAAAATAGACCCCTGTGCTCGTTAGTTTCGCTGCTTTAGTTAGTACATTTATGTAAACAACTGACCCTTGTGCATCCTATGAATCTCATCCTCTAACCGCCTGAATGCCTGATCCCTTCTCTCGCCGTAATTTGGTACCATAGATATATCGAAAATCCCGATTAAGCAGTAGGCTTCATCTTCTTCCATAGTAGTATAACGATGCTCTGCCCAGGATCTTCGCTCTTTGATGCTAAAATTTGACAATGCATAACCTTGAAGAGCTTTGTTTGCGATCCCAGTTATTCCGTATATCTCAGATTCAAGCGACAACTTGCTCCCAAGTCGTTCACCCTCCGAGCTAAAGAAGTCAACGAGCCTTGGTGCAATGAGCTCCTGCAGCGTCCAGCCTCGAGTAAACCAACGACTCTTCCTAAAAACTTCCTCCCATGCCCTCTGGTCATCCACCCCAGTGTCGGGCTTGGAGACATCTGAAAGATAGACATAGCAGCGTGCTGCATTCTGATACCACCGAAACATAGAGTTGATCGCCGTGCCGAGCTCGACCGCATTCTTCTTATCGATACAGCAGGTATCGACCCAGAAGTATTCCAGTCCGTCTACTGCAGCTTGCTTCGCACAAAACTGTATCTTCCTCCACCCAGCCTTATTCACAGTCTTGCTTTTGTTCTTGCTTTTCTTCAAGTCTTGATAAACAACCTCCTCTTCTCCCCAAGTATGAGAAAGTATTGCGTAAGCAGGGACATTGCCGATGGTAGGTTCGCGAAAGACGATCTCGCCATTGGGTTTGCGTTGCAAGAGGCGTATAAGAGACATAATGAAGGTTCGCAAGTGTGACTTGTATCATTAGTTCAGCGAATTGGCGTAAGCATTTCGATTGAAAGATCGGGACTTTGAAGATTAGAACATTAAAAAACTGAGCACAAGAAGGATATGCAGTTGTAATCATAGGCGCTGTCGACGAGGCTGTGGCGAAGGCAAACAAAATGAGAAGGCTATTTCATTTAATGGAAACCTTATTCATTACAGACTGAATTCTAAGAGAAATTTATCCGTTATTATCAAAATACTGGCTTCCACAAAGTAAAAGGGCGGTAAGATGCTATAGGTAGGGATTGAGAAGATGGGACAGTTTTGAAGGCATCCAAGGTCGCCGAAAGAGGGACTGGTTTCGCACGGGCCACACTTTGCTCTGCTCGCAAAATATCGGGAAGCGGGATTTTCCGGCAATGTTACATATAGCCACAAGCGCTGCTACCATATGTTTGACAGCCACAGATTTTTATTACAATTTTACACCGTTGCTGGCCAGGATTCTCAATCGCTTTGTTTGAGGAGGTATCATTCCTTAAAGAATATTCCTTTGATTATTTGTTATTTTGCAGTAGAGTTCTCTCTTTTGAAAAGCTTATCAAATTTCTAAGATAGCTTTATTTATGAACCCTAGAGCCAGTAGATTGTTATTATATTCTTCTAAAGAATTATATAGCATATAATGTCATTTGATGTAATTGTCTTTCTGAATATTACCTATTTTCACTCAAAATGCTGTATGCATATCCTTCAAAACATTATCTATTTAATATTATTGAAATTGATTAAGATTTAGATGTTACGGGAGCTGCCTCTAGGGTCACGTGGAAATGGCTAGAGATCTCTCGAGATGGTTTAGACTAGACTTCAAATAGGAATTCAATAAGATTGTAACTGATTGCAATTCTCGTAACTATAGTAATAAAACTAATGATTATTCTTGAGTACGAAACTCTACATTATAATGAAACCCATTCCCTTATATAAATCTTCGTCTCACTTGGACAGCTGGGACAGCCAGTCGCTCCTGGAGCGCTGTCGTTCCTGAGCTGTCCATCACGGGACACTAATCCGTGACTCTTGGTATCCTAGCTAATTCTTTTGTCCTGGGGCTAATCCCCTGGGACATTACTAATCCTAGTGAAGCCTTCTTGCTTTCTGTGTTCTGTCTTTCCTAGAACTTGCTGTCCTGGGAACTATATTCTAGGTTTCTAGGGTATCCTATGACTAATACTATATACATGCCTGAGGCTTTCATTGGGTGCCTAGTGTCCCCCGGTATACTGCAGCTGAATCACTGAGGCCTATAATACCATTATAGCCTATAAGTCAGTAATTCTACAGCCTGTTACTAATCCGTTGTAACATTAGAGAGATCACAATTTTAAAGTAATGTATTATATTAAAGCTCATTTCCATTATAAAAAACTCTATTTTAGGGATAATAAGTACTGCGAAAGTCTGGAAGTTTGAGTCAGTATTTCTATAGAATATAATAGATCTTTGTATTATCGCTTATTAAAACTTATTCAACATACTGTCACGGATCGCACTCAATCGCAATGCGATCGCTCACGTGTACATAGCTAGTATATAGGAGCGCTCTACGAGCGCTTTGCTCTCGATTCTGTAGTTGTAGATTCTAAGGATAAATTGTACCCTGCTCTCGCAGTTCTTCTAAGGCAAAGTGTCACACATACTGGCCATACCATTTTTAGAAATAATATCAACATTGTTTGAATCTGGGTTGATATAGTGAATCATCGTGAATAGATTGAATCTAATGCATAGTAAAATAGTTAGGATTTGTAAGGGTTTATAGGGATTTATTGATATTAAAGAAAAATAGGTTTTCAGCTTTGAATAGAAAAAAATATGATTAAACTTTGTTTTCAAGAATTATCTATTTTGATGTGGGGTAATTACTTAGCTCCATATAGAAAACTGTGGATCCAATAAATAAATTAGTAATGCAATTCTTAAGCGTGAGTAGTGTTGGTTCGAGAAGGATACGGAAGACGTAGCACCCACGTATTGTAGGTCCTGTATGTCTAATTGTATTCTATCTAAAGAGCTAGCTATGTAGGAAAGTAGTAGGCCTTATATAGGCACTACTGAAAGAGCTAGTCTCTTTCGCATTCGCTTAATCCCTTTGATATAGTAGCCATTGTATTGAAGTCATTCCTTTGAAGTGAATACTCTTGTTCACACAAGTAGTGAATCCGCAAAAGCAATATTAGGGAGGTTAGCACAGTATTTGAAGAAGCAGTCTTCGAGGTAAATTCAATCTATTTATAGTGGACACTTTGTTGCTGCAGTTGTTATCGCTAAAATGAGTGTAGTCTTTTATTAATGTGTACAATTGAGGGGGCAGCGTATAGCCTCCTTTTCTTCAATCTAAAATTCTCCTCTTTTTGAGGGTCTTGACCCTATCATTTGGTAAGCTTAAGCTCTCCCGACTAATCATTAACCATAACCTCCTAGAGGGGGGTGATACTCGACCTAGAGATTAGGGAGCTGGTCGAAAAGCGTAATGATCTAGATAAGTCGAGACCTTAAAACTGTTTAGAAGCAATAGTGATAATACAGATAAAGTTTCAACTACAGGTATAGACTGTTCAAACTATGAAAGAGCTTCACGGTGCACTTCATAAGATTCTAACCTTCAAGCAGACTATGAAATAGCTCCAAGATATCCAGGGTTATCTCTTCAAAATTCTCCAGAAATCAAGACTTCATCAAATTCTAACAGTGAAGTGAAAGGAAAGCGAGCTGGCCACAAGGCTCGACCTTAGATACAGATTTATACTTTTAGAATGTCCATCGCTTCTTTTAGTCAACATATTAACAATAAAGAAGATAAAAGCAATAAAGGGAATGATTGAAGCAGGACACTACTCGAAGCTGTCAACGAAGGTCTACAAACATTATTCAAAGCCAATTTACTTGAAAAAGATTCAGCCAGCCACCCTCATTCAATCATTTTGTCGGGTTCTTAACGATGGATAGCTTCCTCTTAGTATGTTGACCTCCTTGGAACCAAATTAGCGAGTAAATAAAACCACCCTGCTCCATCTAAACGAATCCATCCCAAGTCCACAAATGATGGCGCTTATATTGAATTTCCCTTCGTCCGAAATATTAACTTTGCCCCCACAGGGGCGCGCGTTACGATCGTTAAGATGACAGCTAAGTAGATGATTGAGACGGCTTTTTTCCCCGACTCGATAGTTGCATCTAATTTTGCATCTTCAAGAGACTCAGCACCTACAAAGGCCTTTATGAGATCCGCTACCAGGGTATCGTAAGTTTGGGAATATTTTTTAGTAAGGTACTCTTGGTGCTCTTGAATCATCTTGTATTCGCCGTTAAAGTATTGTTCACCTGAAATCATCATTAGCTGGCAAACGCTCGTTTACTTAGGTACTATACTTACATAAGTGCTACAGGCAGTCTGTCCAGTTTCAAGAGTACATTATCCTGCATTTGAGCCTATCGTTCCCCTAATACGCATCCTTCTGATTGTTGTTGTTGTTGTTGTTGTTGTTGTTGTTGTTGTTGTTTTTTGTTTTTTGTTTTTTGGTTTTTGGTTTTTTAGGAAAAAGTGAGTAGTTATCGTACTGTTCTGGACTATCTTCCTTGATAAATGTTTATGTAATGGCATGAAAATTAAGAATTGAAACTCTAACGACCCGTGTAAGTTTTTTATACTTAAATTTTCTTCAGCCCAAACTTGCAGTAATTCTACAGATGTCTAATTCTATTCTATTCTAGAACTCATTTCAAGACTGTTGTGAAATTCCTACTCTAACCTCACTCCTCTCAAATTTCTCGATTTCTCCCGAGCCATATAATCATCACTGAACAGATTATGTTTCTCGCCTCTTAACAAGGCAATCAATGTTGTTTAAGAAATTAGGCTGCGAAGTTGAACACTTGATTTCATTTTCAATGTGTTTTTAACTATATTTCGAATCGAGGTCCTGATCAATATGCGTTAACACAATTAAGTTTTCGCTTCCAGCAATTATATTAGTTACAGACATGAGTAAATATATCCTGATCTTGGAGATCTGTGGGCTCAGCATCAGAAACGGAACAATAAGACGGCGCAATCGTGGGCATGCATATAGTGATGCGACTTGATATCTGTTCTTAACGAGAAGGACGTATTATATCATCAAACTGAGTACAGTGAAAGAAAAGAGGCTTATGATTGATGTCATGGCTCTATGACAATCGTACGAAAGAAGAGAATTGAGTGGAGTAAGATGGACTAATGGTCTTGACAACAAAAACAGATACCGATAAAGCATTAGAAAAGTTCATCAACACTAACACTCTAATCATACGAGTTGTAGTGTGCATAGATAGAAAGGCGAGTACGAAGATCTACCTGATCTTCGTACTGATAAATTGGAAACATATGTGGTTAATGATATTTTGTTTTTATATTTTTCTATTTAGGTTTTTTTGGCTTTCGATAAACAATTTATATTTCAAACCCAAAATCCAAAACGCCAAAACCAGAGTCGTACGGAGCTACTCCACAACAATAGGCTCATCCTCAGAGGCGCCACAAAGCAAAAGAGCTTCTCTTCGTCGGGAATGTTTAAGATCGGCCGAGGGAGGAGAAGTAGGACTTCGATCGGGAGATGCGTGATGAGGGGGAGGAGTAAGACTTCGCTCGGGAGATGCGCGAGAATGGAGAGAAGGAGGGTTGCGCTGTCTACTCACAGGGCCAGAATGCGAACGATCGGATCGCACACACAGAATACCATGGTCTCGCCATTTACAGTTCCCACAGCTGTTATCGAAATGACCTTCCACACGACGACAATCCGGAAAAGGCCTCAAACCATGACGACGACACTCCCCACAAGAATCTTCAACAAGAATCCCACGACTCTGAATTAATAACCCATTTATATACGGAGCCTGCATAGATTCGACTTCGGCAGTCGTAATAGAGTTTCGGACAAATAAAACAGGGTTCCCCGGCATAGCCAAAAGTGCGAGTTGGAGAGCATTGTGACAATAGGGTGCGAGTTGTTGTCCGCCGATAGGAAGAACGGAATTTCGATTCGGCTGAGCCTGCACGCATGCAGCATTATCCATTTGAAGGGCCCTGATTGTGCGAATTATTATTAGCACATTACGTACAATGCTGTACTAGCAGTCGTTGTGGGGTAAATTTGGGTGCAATTAACTTATCTCTCGGCAGGAGTGGGACACACATTTCGGATGTTCGGATAAATTTGGCTTTCTAGCGTTTCAAAGACGTCAGCTTGCACACAAAGCTAGACATGCATATATTCAGACGGATACTCGACTTACGATATTTGGGGCAGTTTGTCTTGATGATTTTACTTAGGTGGATTGATTGATTTAGGGCTTGCTTTACGATACTTTTTGGATGGATTGTGGGTACCAGGATTTGCCTAAGCGATAAGGTGGCTATTAGTCACGTGTTATAATGTCACGCTGCATATGATCTAGGTAGACAGAATGAAATACAACTACACTTGTTTTATATTTTGTGTATCTACATCTTACGATGTCTGTTCAACGAAGTTAAATACAATTACTAATTTATCTGTAATCCTTGAATTACATTAGAAATAATCAATTGTCTTTCTTACCTGCTTTAAATAAAAATGGGAAGAGATTAATCAGGTACAATAACATTTCGTTTAACAGTATGTACAGGTTTGTTCCACTAATCATGTATTATTCTCGTCAGCCAATCAATCACCTGAAAGTTCAGCATTCAAATCAGCCTGAGCCTGTGCCATTATCTCCATCATTGCGCGTTTGCTCGATTACAGAATGAATTTGGTTCCCCCACGACAAGCCTGGAAATCCCACATAAGGGATCTCACATTGCCCTTATTAGTACTTCCTTCCCAAATTTCGCTGCCCGACTCAGCCTGCTCAAAATTAATGATCATCAGCCGATTCTCATCTCAAAAATGTTGTGCAGTTTGGGATCTCTGTAAATTACTCCGTACTCAGTTATTGCTTTACAAGCTTCCTTCAATCTTGCCTCGTGGATGCAGTCTTCATTCTCGGGCCGCGCAGTCGAGTTGTAAAGTTTACCACCATGTATCACTGATCGTATCAAGGTCCGGTGTATAACACGACATTTGTAATGAATCAGAGGAGGGTGGAGATGGTAGTGAGGATGAAAATGGGGTTGTTAAGGAAATTGAAGGACCAGATAAATATAGAGAGGAATGTGCGCTGATAGTGTTTTAGTTATTCATTGTATTGACGATGATATTAATGGGTAGAAATATAGGAGAGAAAAATAGAAGCTAACTACTTGAAAAATTAAAAGAGAACGAGCCTCGTACACGCAAACGTGTAGACAGAGTGTAGAAAGACACTTGAATTAATCAATTAATATTGAATACACGAAAGAACATTGATAATTCAGCATGTCATCTTTGTAAAACGGGAGAATTAATTATTAAGGTAACGTTAACTAAACGGTGTTTGAGGTAACACTATACTACTATCAAATAAATGATGGTGATTTGCATCCTGTTTGCAGCGTCTTGCTCCAGCCGTTTTACATGGCCATTCCACTTGCTTGACCACTTATTCTCTGGCTAGCAGAAAATTAATAAGCTTTAGCCTCTTGATGCTTTATCGACACCAGATACACAGGATCTGCCATTTCCAGAATGGCCTGTGTAACAATGGTACCCCGCTTTCAATGTGTTTTCTTTTGCTGCGTAGTTAGCAGCGAAGCTCGTCTCAAATGTTTGCCCCATCTCTCCCGCCCGTTGAAACTCGATACGAAGCGATGCATCTTCTGAAGCAACCCGATAGAAATGAATTTGTTCTGACCAAGTACCTCGGCGATGACTAGATTTCACCTTACGCTATACTCTCCCATACTTTGAAGGACGGCGACAGAGATCATCTTGGATGGGTTGAGAAAGGGCACAGGAGAGAGCAAGACAGAGTATGAGAAGATTCAACTTTGCGGAAAACAAGCCAAACGCAACGGCTTGCAACACTTTTGGGTGAATACATACTATATTGACAAATCAGACCATATCGAACTACAGAGAGCAAACAATTCTATATTTCGCTACTATCAGAATACAGCAAAGTGCTACATCTATTTACCAGGTGTGTCAAAAATTCACTGGAAAGCAAACAATGAACTCTCTGAGTCGACTTGAAACCCAGATTTTCGAAAATACGCATAGTTTACTTAGAATTGGATACTTCAAGAGCTGCTTACTCTAACTTTAATCAAATACTTTTCCCGGGAATAGAAGAAGCTCGATAATAAATGATCACTAACGGAACAGATCCATAACTTCACAGGCATCCCGGAGTCGGCGCTACAAAACACACCTTTGTCTCAATTTAGCGACAAAAAACGATTTTGGTAAATTTTTACAGCACCACCAAACAAAGATCGAAGAAATAGAGCACATTCACTATTTATTAGGGTTTTCCAAATCAAAATAAATTTCGTCATAAAGAAGAATCTGCAAACGCATACAAACAGTTTGAGAAGAAGATTGACAAGCTGAATCAATGCCTCTGAGACTTGCGCTTGATCGATCCCCGTGATGACAAGAAGCGCATCGAAGAAACCAAAGGTAACCTGCTAGATGGTTATTAGTATCGTTGGATCCGTGAAGATTCGGAGTTCCAGTGCTAGCATAACAGTGAATGAGGGCCAACTTTTATGGATCAAAGATGATCCTGGGAAAGGCAAGACCATGTTCCCGTGCGGTATTTTAAACGAGGTAAAAAGATTAATGGCCGCGATACACCTGCTGTCGTATTTCTTCTGTCAGGCTACAAAATCTCGCATTGATAGAGCCACAGTTGTGCTACGAGGTTTACAATACATTCTTGTTGTCCAACAGCTTTCGTTTGTTTCCCACATTCAGAAGAAATACAAGCACGCGGGCAAGCCCCTTCTCGAGGGTGCGAATGCCTGCGTGGCTCTAGCTGAAATATTTATAAAAAAAATCTTGCAAGGTCCAAGCTTAAACAACACTTGCTTGTCTGTTGGCACAATGGATGAATGCATAGTAGACTTGCCAAAGCTGGTAGACTTCATTGTCCAGAAGTCGTCTGTATCTTCCCGTGTCAAATAGATCATCTCAAGCCGCAACCGGCCGGACATCGAAGCGCAGTGCGAGGAGGCAGGTCATAAAGGAATCCTATGTCTCGAACTCAATGTACAGTCCATATCTGCGGTCGTCAGCGTGCTTATCCAGCATAAAGTGCGTCAGCTGGCGGTGCATAAAAAGTACGATGACAAGATACGAGATATTGCGTGCACACCAGGCACGGGGCGATCCCTAATCAACTCGGTGACAAATACTAGAGCTCTTCCACTAGATCTTTTAATGAATATATTAAGAGAATAACTGGACTTGTAAAATCTCAAAGTACTAAGATAACTCTACTTCGAAAACAGTTTACTAATATTGTTTTAATCAAAATATCAATATTGTCGCGGATCGGACCCAATTGCAATTCAATCGCTCACGTGCGCGTCCGCGCACATGTACGATCATGTGTACATAGCTAGTATAAATGAGCGCTCTACAAGCGCTCCACTTCCTATTTTGTAGTTGTAAATTCTAAGAATGAACTGTACCCTGCTTTCGCAGTTTTTCTAAGGCAAAGTGTCACACAAGCGATTCCAGCAAAACATCTAATTGAAGAATTAGAAAAGAATACCGAAAAAGAAGAGTTAGAGAATAGCTCAAGCGATTTAGGGTTGGAATTGTATGAATTTATAGCTTATAGAATATTATTGCATAGAGAAAATTGAATTTTGTGATTCGGTTCTATAAATTTCTTTTTTATAAAGAAAAAAAAAAAGAAGATATATAGTATGTTAAGAGACCTATGAAGTTGGTGGAAAAGCCTTAGTATTGTGCGCGAAAAGACGTGCTTGTACCTAGTATTCATAGGTCTTCTTGGTATAGTTTAGAAAAAGACAATCTGTTCCTACTACTCAATTGTCCCCCTTACGTGTTACGTGAGAGCTGTCTAGAGCCTCTTTTCCCTCTCCTCCGCCGGAGGTACCACGTCTACAGTGACTTTTCTACGGCATATGCGAAGGCTTACTCTATGAACCTACCACCTCCTACTATTTTACAGTATTATAAAGTTATGTACAGAAAGTTACGATATAGGTATGCGACTCCGTAAGATCACATGCGGGCTAATCCCGATATATTATAATGTGATATGCGGTACAATTCTCTTATTTGGATATTTCGAACAGAGTACAAGTTTTTAATAGAAAAATACACTATACATAAGTTTTGGCTGATGAGTCTTTTTTGGACAAAGCTTGTTTAGGTGTAATCAGTAACGTCTTCACTCAGTTGATGACGAGAGCGCCACAGCACTACATCTGTCGACTATACACTGTCTGCTGATCATACATTCGCTGAGTGGGCGAGTATGATAAAGCAATAGAAAAATAGCCAACGAGAGTCTGTCGGAACGCTAAACACTCGCACCCACTTATTAACAGCCTCAGGGGCACCTGTATACATACTATCTCATATAGCATAAACAAAAAGACAATGCCCAATGATCATTATACAAACACAGCTCGCATAAGCAACTTCCAACAGGTCTGGTGGGTCATCTAACAAGAGTGAGAGCCTAATTTTCCGAGACTGCTGAGCAAGTATTCTTTCAATTGAGAACAAAAGTTGAACGCCGAATCATCCTCTATGTAATCATGTACAGACCATCGTCAGTTGGTTTGGACAAAAGAACACAACCCAACCAGAAAGAAGATAGCCACTAGCGGCTGCTAAGTAATGTCACAGCCCATGAACGTAAGAACTGAATGTAGGAAGAGTAACCGACGGAAACCTACAATAGATTTCAAGAATTCAATGCTTTTCCTGAAATTGTAAACTAGATCGTTATTGATTAAAAGTGTCAAGATATAGATTGATTTCCCAGGTAAGTCAGAAATGTAGGGAATTTCGGAAATCCTCGGGACGTTCGCCCAAGCATATCATTGGCTGACGCCACAACGAGCACCATAACGTTGCATAGGCGAAGAATTCGAAGGCTCAAGCAATGAATATTCTGCTCTAAGTAGCACAGATCCTGTAGATTGTAGTTTAGACTGCATGAGATCAATAGATCTAGAACATCTGCATCAAATATCGGTTTTGAGGCTTGCCAGACATGTTGTCTTTTCTCAATAGAGTGGAATATGGGTGCATTATGCTCCGAGACTATCACCCCCGGACGCAATTAACAAGTTCAATTCCTTCGTCTTTCCCGATCCAAATTCAAAGGCTTTAATTGTGACTTGCATTAGCTACAGGAAAATGGCTCCCGTAAATATTAGAAGGCAAGACGAGGCCCGAGCAAGGTATGCTACCTGATTACTGGTATTCTTTTAATTATTGTGCTGAGATGGCAGTTTTAACAGTCTTCACGTGGGCCTGAACATAGTTCAAGGGACTATTCCTCGAGAGCCACTACCGAACCTCATATATCTTCTGGCGGTATGGTGGTCGAATCTGCGACGTCATCTTAAGACTAACCTTCGGTCACGAATATCTCCATTTCCAGCGAGCGTGCATATCCTTCCTCATACCATAGTGCTCATCGGTTGATTCGTCAATGCTCTCAAAATAGACAGCATGATCTCCAAAAGATCGGTGCGCAATTTGGAACGTCTTTGGACGTTTCCCGCCAGACACTTTCAGCGGATCTTCCACCATTTCCAGACCTCACAAGCTATTGTTCATATCACTCTCAGCTACTGAGATCTGATTTGCAAGGCGAGGGTACTTCTGCATTATCACAAGGAAAGGATGCAGCCACCTACCAACCAGATGATTAATGCCCTGTGACGAAAGAGGGTTGTTGGTGTAGACATAGTTTGTGAAATGTCAGCAATGGCTACTGGAAGAATATCATGAGGTTGTAGGAGAGCCTCCATAGAAAAAATGGAAACTGCCCAAGGTCGGGCAAGATGAAAGAGAATTTCACATGTTTCACATCAAGGCAATGAAGAAAATTGTTGTTTTTGACGTAATTCATATTTGCCCACTGCTCGCTATTTATTATAGCTGTGTTCCGACCGTAGTGAAGAAGCAGCAGGCTGGTATCTCAGGCTTATGTGCCATAATATCCCATGCAAGTATGTGAACCATCCATCCTTGATAACCGATATGATACAGCGTAAATGTATCCGAGTAATTTACTTAAGAGGAATGAAACGGGAAGAGTGGGTAGCACCGATACCGGGTCTTCCGTGCTTAACTGGGCGGCTGTTTTGGAGTTAGTATGTGCTTCCAGTGCGAAAAACCTCAAGCTTTTGCACAGAATATAGTAGGGATTAACTTACTAAGAGATAGAGAATTCGGCCAAGTAGTGACCAACCATCTCAGGCTTGATTTCGACTTGGTTGAACTCCTTTCCGGAGTAGATACCGATAACGCTGCCAATCATCTCTGGGACAACGATCATGTCTCTCAAGTGAGTCTTGACCAAATCAGGCTTCTCGTTTGGCTGAGCCTCTTGCTTGGCCTTGCGGAGCTTCTTGATGAGACCCATAGGCTTGCGCTTCAAACCACGGTTGAACCTACGGCGAGCACGGGCGTGGACGACATCGCGGAGTTGGTCGGAGGAAAGGTCGAGGAGTCTATTCGAAGAATATAGGGTTAGCTACTATGAGATCCCCTTTGATATTCATGTTGTGGATTTATTAAGGTAGGCATACTGGTCGAGGTCGATTCCACGGTAGGAAAACTTGCGGAATGCTCTCTTTGCCTTGATCTCGGCAGCCTTTTGGGCATCCTATTAAATTGGAAAAATTGGTTAGTCTTCCATTTCATTCCAAATTGCCTCTATAATTTCTGAAGAATTTGGCTTCAGAAATCTCGAACAAAAACAATCAATTGCTCACATATTCTTCGTCGGCCATCTGTGCGGTTGGGTTCTTTCAAAGGTTGTCGAAAGGATGGAGTTGTCGTAAAAGAGTTGTTCGACGCCAACTGAGTCCAAGTGCCACAAAGTTTGCAAATTTTGGTCTCGCTTAGATTTCAGCGCTAAAATAGGGCAAATGTCCCAGATGACCTCTCAGCCTCGTCCTTTTCCCATGCAAATATCGATACCGTATCAAATCATGGATGACAAGGGTGTTTGGAAGGGTGTCAGATAGTAGATAATAAGATTACGAGTGGCCTTGATTGGCCTCTGAATTTATGTAGAGGATATCATGGGGTTCTGAACGGCTTCCAGGTAACCTTGATTTCACAAGTGAAGAAAGGCTTTCTAGTAGTACTTGTTGGCAAGCAATTGACTACAGATATGCTCAACGAGATTATTTGCATTTACACATCACATCAAATCACAACATATCACACCATTTAAGTATTTATCCTGCCAAGATGCTGCTCATGATTGAAGAATCACGTCTTTATTGCTCTATTTTGCATGAATATATGCTTATCATGGGAATCTTCGCGAGATAAAATCCATCCCATATGGCGTGCAAACAATGGGCGAAGCCCGCACGAGTTCTCCCAGAAATCTCGAAATGATGTTCCGGTAGGTCGAGAGCGTCGAGTCCGTGGGGAAGTCAATTGACTGCTTAATCGAAAAGACCGAAACCCATATCCTCGTCGGACTCTTCCTTCTCTATTTATTGGGTTAGTAGGCTTTTTATTGATGAGAATATAGCAAAACATACCCTCAGCCTTCTCCTCAACCTTCTCCTCAGCAGCGGCACCACTGGAAGCGGCAGCTCCACCAGCAGCTGGGGCAGCACCGGCACCACCAGATGGGACGGATGCCAACTTGGAGGAACCCTCAGCGATCAACTAGATTTTACGTCAGTTATTTGTACATGTGCGCGTTTTCCTCGATTGTGCTAACCTCGTTGATGTCCTTTCCGTCAAGCTCCTTGATGAGAGTATCGAGACGCTCTTGGTCGATCTCAATTCCAACGGACTCGAGAACGGTGGTGATGTCCTTAGCGGAAGGGGAAGCCTTTCCACCGATGGTGAGGAGGAGGTATGCAGCGAGATACTTCATTTTGAATGCTATGCGCAAATCTTGTCAGTTAACAATTTCAAAGATGATCTTGGTGCGCAAAACAATACTGCGAAGTATTCATTGTGAGGAGGATCTTACATTTATTTGTTTCGTTAAAGAACAGGTATATCAATCGATTTAACCGCAAGAGACGGAGACTGAAATTTCAAGTTCTGAGAGTTTTGAAGTTTGTGAAAGATTCGATTGTGGATCTCAGATTCGATTAAAATCAAAAAGTTTCTTGTGTGGGAGAATGGCGTGGCGCTAAGCTACTCCTGTCAAGTCAGACACGTGATAACGAAATGGACTTAAATCCTTGCGAATGTCTGCCCGTTTGCTTTTCACATTGCCTCAACAACAACTCAAAGGAATAACACAGATACAACAATTTCATCTGAAGGCGCAGTTAATAGTTATCCGGCGCTTTTAAATTTTATTCCTGCTGCTAGCACCATACATGTCAATTTTCATGTGCTGATGCACTACAAGAAGTCGGAAATCCACGCGATCTGCGTTTGAGTTGTTCATCCATCATCTTCTGATTCATTCTTTCAAATTTTCGGTGTATCACAAGCACATCATTCAAGATGCCGGTACGTCTGCTTTGCGCATTTGTTCACACTCTAGATAATCATTATACTGACTTGATCAAGATCGGTGATCTTCTCGCCCAGATTTCGGGGGGCCCAAGTCCAGATTCAACGATGACGATGCCGACCGCCACTCTCCCGCCAAAGCGAAAAGCAAACGATGATTTGAGGAAGCCGGTTGACAAACTTCAAAGGCCAAATACTGCTACTATATCGAGACCAATCACCCAAGCGCATCGTCCTACAGCTGTTGATACGAGTATGGGCAGGATGAAGATCGACACGAAACAACAAAGACCAACTCCGAGCTCGGCTAATACCGCCAACACCACATTCAAAAACGGCCAGCCAACACCACCTCCATCGTCCACTGAATCAGCAAAACCTCCCAAGAAAGGTTCATATGCGGAGATTTTGGCACGGGGAAAAGCTGCACAGGCTTCTTTGGGCCAGGTTGGAAAGATTCAACACAAACGCATCGAGAAAGCACCATCCAAGCGAGAGTCGGATAAACTAAGGACCCAAAAGGGGAAGACCATTCAAAAGGGACTAGAACCAAATTCCAAATTTCAAAGATCTGGACAGGTTCCCGCTCGTAATGGACAGAGTGGCACGAATGGTACGAAGTCTGTTGGAGCCAAGGCTCCGCCACCAGCTGTTGAAAAGAAAGTCAAAAAAGCTGCAACAGCAACGACTGGATACACCGGGACTGCTCGCCCAAGACCAGGAGGTGGTGGTCCAACTGCTAATAAGACAAGTGCACCTTCATATTCCGCTCGTAGTGGCAATGACCGATATAAAAATGGTAGAAAGAACCTCGATCGCTACTATGCTACTGATGAAGATGAGGACGAAGATGACATGGAGGATGAAGTTGAGGAGGATGACTATGCATCCGATGTATCTTCTGATATGGAAGCAGCCACGTTCGAAGTCGATGAAGAAGAAGAAAAGGCTGCTGCTATTGCCAGGAAGGAGGATGCTGAAGCTCTTGCCGAAGAGAACAAACTCAAGAAGGAGAAAGCTGAAAAGCGAGCACGACTTGCAGCTATGGCCAAGTCCAGAAGATGATGAATCGGTTAGGGGTATTGGCTATGGTTCTTGGGGATTTCTACGGGTGGGAACTTTTTCAGGAATGCTATGGATGGATGCATTGTTTGAGTTTAGCGATTTGGAGTTTTGGAATGGGAAGACGAGATATACAGGCATTGCAGGCGTAACATACTTGGAAGCTGCTTTGCTGCTTTTCCACTTCGGTGGTAGTCCTACTTTCTATGCTTTGCAGCGCATTATGGTTATTAGAGGATCGTATTATAATGAAGGGCACCAATAGCGTGTACATGATTGTTTACTCTAATTCGTCAAAATTCATGATTACCTTTGGTCGATCGAGCTTGAAATATGTGATAGCATTCAAATATCAAGATATCAAGTTTTCACTGCCAACTCAACCTATCTTTCCACTTAGCCATGCATACATGCAAAGGTGGGTCATCAAATAGAGTGTCAGTCATTAACACCCATACTTCAATATCTTATTACTATCTCTTTTACATGTTATCCACATTGTTTTTTTACCTAAATATGTACTCGTCCCAACGTTGACGTTCGACGCAGAGCTCCCGGTCTGTACCCTTCGACTTCTGAGGATGTCAAGGCCCAATACCAAGCACAAAGAAAGTCCACAATTCTCAATCACAAGATACACATATTCATTGTGATACAAAGACTCGACTCATAAACACAAACTAAATTGGTATCACAATCCTCCTCCATCTCTCTCAAAACTTTGTCACTTAAAATCCACCATGTCCTCCCCGTCCACCACCACCATGACCACCTCTCTCGCCTCCAAATCCCCCTCCGCCATGATGTTCACCACCTGGCCCGCCAAATCCACCTCCTTGATGTCCGCCTGGTCCACCGAATCCGCCGCCGTGGTGTTCACTACTTGGTCCTCCTCCGTGTCCTCCCTGTTGACCACCTGGTCCGCCAAAACCGCCTTGTTGGCCGCTGTATCCGCCTTGGGGTCCTCCGTATCCTCCCTGTTGACCACCTGGTCCGCCAAAACCGCCTTGTTGGCCGCCGTATCCGCCTTGGGGTCCTCCGTTACCGCCCATGTGGTGTTGCTGAGGGGGAGCTTGGTTCTATTCGTATATTAGCATTTGCACATAAAGAGTACTCTTGGGGAATAGAAGGGTGACAAACATGCTCGTTCTCGTGCTTTCCCTCGACCTTGTGCATGACTTTGCTGATGAGACCCATTGTGGTTTATGTTCGTATATATATAATTGAGAGATGTGTGTAAAATTTGTTATGGGATAGACAGGCAGTTGAAGATGAGGAATTGAGTTTATATTTGAATACTTCAAAAGAACTAGCAAGAGAGGAGGTATATACTACTATATATACTAACCATTCTTCCGCTCACCCAAGTTCCAACCCACTTTAATATCCAGACCTCAGCCTACACACCAAAATTCATCATCCATACTTGGGCCAACTTCTCAAATTCCTGCTTTGGCTGCTTGTTACGCATGCATACATATCGCTTCATTTACATTTACCCTGATTGCACCTGTCCACCCGCTACCAAAAAGCTTAAAAGGAAGAGTAGATGCGCAGCCCAAGACCCCTCAATTCCCTTCCCTTCCCAGATCCTGCAATCCGGCAGCCGGTGCCGCAGAAACCCCTCCCCTCATCCTAGTATACTTCTCTCGTCCACCATAAAAACACGGCTTCCCTGACCAATAAATACATGTTGTACAGCCACAGAGAGTTAAGCCTCATGACACGATTGTGTTGTGGTTAGAGTCGTGGTGTGTAAGTGTCTTGGCGGTGGGGATAACGCGCGGCCGAATCTTCTGTCGAGCTCTGGAATACTCCGCGCACAGCAACGAGTAGGAACCGAGGATCCGGCATGGAATGGGATAGGGGAACGTCATTGTCACGTTTATGGATGATGGAAAAAGTTACGTCATGCATTGAGTGTTGGTTTTTGCGTCAGACGATCAGATTGACGAAAAGTTACGCTTTGACTTTACGAAGTATAGATGTATGTGAATAGGTATGTGAAGAAGACGATCTGATGAATTCAATTCGAATTCCAAAAATATAAATATGTTGCGGTTGAATATCGGTGAAGCGAATAAGTGGAACAGATGAGCGAGGTTTCCAGCTGAGGCAATGCACGGGAACATCCATGAGTTGGAGCCTCTTCTAGCGAGACTCAAAGATTCATTTAAGAGGGGGACAAAAGAGTTATGCGGGTGTATGTATTAATAGAAGCATCCATTGCGCTTGATATACGCAGATATGAATTTAGTATTACATATTAAGTCCTCAACTCGTGCCCGATAGGCCATTCATTCCTGCTATACATGTACCAAAAAATGCCGACTGTGTTTCTGGCCGTGCAACTGTGTTATAATTGCATTCAGTACCCCAAAAGTGCTTGTGTTTCAAAGATGCTTTTCCCCGTTAATAGCTGTTTCCCAATACGCCAAGAACCCCAAAACTCCACGATACTTGAAAGCATATCGTATTCCGATACTCTCGATTTTTATAACTTGCGAAAAATTGGCTTTTAGTCTGGTGGTGGTGCAGCATTCATAATTTTAGCCAACATGTCGATGTGTGAGATGAGATTGCCGTTGAATCCTTCTTCCCGTTTTGGCGTCCCTTCTGTATGCCAACAAGAACCCCATGTATCCTCATCTAACCTTCCTTCGAAATATGCAATTCGCATTGGCCAGTCCATCTTTGGCCACCACTCTTCCGGCAATAAACTAAAAATTCCTGTCACTTCTCTTTTGGCTACACCCTGGAGCCACCAGATATCATCAACGATACGTGTCATAGCGAAAAAACACGACACAATAACCAAAGCACGAGGATCCTGTCTCTTCAGTAGGTCAATATAACGACGTGTTACAGTTGCCGCAAAACTGAGAATCCGAGCTCGCTCTGGTTTTTGATGGGACCAGTTAAGCATGGCAACAGCATGTTCGTATGCCTGCTTTGTATCTGCATCTATAGAAGCATCCTCCGAATTCGATACATGGTCAATACCCTCGAGTAAAAAAGCAAAGAATCCTCGGCGCTCAGGATCAAAATCTAGTATTAATGGAGGCTGCCCATTGATGATCGGAAAGATCTTGGCCGAATTTCGTAACCAATGCCAGGAAGTTATAACGATTGTCTTAACTCCCTGGAAAGAATGAAACCAAGCAAGTGGTAGGACGTAACCACTGTCAGAATCCCCATCAATTCCATTCTCGACACAACGGGATGCCGATGCTTGGAAAGCGATGAGGGCAGCTGTACAAAAAAGTGCTTCTGCATTGCTTTGAGATGGGCCCTGGCTCAAAAGAGAAGAATATTGAGCAAGCGCTGATGCCATATAACTATGTGATGCACGTGCAAGACTTCGATCTTCGGGCTGTAATATACGTAAATGTAGAGCAGAAACGGCAAGGATAGCATCCATTAGATATGGGGAGTCATAAGCGAGTGATGGTACGTTCACAGACCAGGCAACGTCCTGAGTTTCATCATTAGAAAGAGTTTTCGAAGTCGTTGCAGTATAATGATGCATTAGCCTGAGCTCAAGTGATCGATCATGTATTGAGTTACCGTGAGCTCTGGCTGTCATTGAAGGGGACCGGTAGAAGGGCATTATAGAAGAAGTGGTAGACGCCGGTGATGAGGCTTGGTTGACCGAGCCTTCGGAACTTTGATGGACAAGCGTTGGAGGTGGGAAAGCTGGTGAATCAGGTGATGAAGGCATATCACCAAAATCACATGAAACGCCTGATGGGCATTGTCAATATGTATTCTACTCTTCAGTGAAGATATACGGACCATGCTTTTTACAATTTCCACACAAAGGATGTTTTTCATCACACTGATTCAAAATTAGCACGTGCTTATGACTGTCTCTGGAACCCAACAAGTATGGTTGATTACTTTGATTTTCCTGTGCTTGCATCTTTGGCAGCCGGCTTTGGATTTCTTATGCGATCTTCTTGGTGGCATCTTGTGTTTTTGCTTGTTGAAAGACTAATCAGGAAGTTGTAGGTTGTCAGGGATGGCGAGCGGATTGACTATTTCGACAAATGTTCATGTTGAAAACGGATGATTTTAGTTCATTTCATTGATTGGAAATAAGTGCGAATCTTTGTTAGGTGGGTGTTGGAGATATATTGGTCAAAAGTAAGTGATTGATAGATGTTGAAATTTCATCCCTTGGTGTTCCGATTTGCATCGATTGTTTACCATCGAGCGCACCAACGTTGTTTAAGTGCTTAATAAGTATCTATCGATCGGGGCTTCGGAACATCGAGAATTGAGGGTACCCCTGCTGCATCTGGCTTGTTCGATCATCAATCTACGATCTGATTGGCTCTTGATGGAGGTAAGTTAATCAGCATCTCAGCCTTCTCCTGGATAGAAAAGTTCCGACAATTCCATTCCTGAGATGAGAGTAAGTGTGGATGGGTGTGAAATTATACATATCGTCAGGTGTGTTTTTATTGAATTCACTCACAGCATTGGTACCATCCATCACCATTTGGCATCATGTGACGACAATCGAGCAATGATAAAATCGCACCTCGATGGTTACTAAAACTACTATATAGGTGTGATGTTTCCCATTCCATTTTCTCCCGCTACTCGGGACAATCATCACGACTGTAATCCGACACATCTCCAGTCCTATCAACAACGCATTTCTATATCTTCAACTTAATCATGTCAGTACAATACAACATTCAGATCTTATGTCTGTCTACTCGAGTATTCTTGTTCGACTACGTAATAAGCTCAACGACCTCCCTAATTGGGGTTCCAATAACCTAAAAGGCGTGTATGTTGGCACAACACAACGAAAAAGATTGATAATAGCTAGCGGTTCTATACAAAGTACAACGTCGATTTGTCATGATGTCTTCATATCATACATGTCCTTTTCATTCTCGAACCTGCATATAAGCAGCCAAAGAACCTTCCTCCTGCCTGTTCTTACCTAAATATCTAGTTTTGAACATTCCTTCTTCTCATCTAGACGAATTGCGTGCTTTAGTCTCTGATTCAATACCTACCAAGGTAAAAAGTATCTATATTTACCGCCTTTGTTCCTTACAAATTAAGGTTCAGCTCTCGTCACGACATTCATCCTTCTTACATTATTACCAATTTGACCCATCTACCAAGACTCACTTGCATATTTTCTTCTTCGACGCTTCTACCGAGTACTTCCTAGTACACTAAAAGGAAAAACTATTTAGTTAGAACTTCCCCGCAATTTTTATTCGCTATATTTTCCCATCAGATCAGTCTACTATCAAACTTCTCTCTGTCTTTTGTTATATAAAATTATTCGGAAAAAAGGAAAAGGAAAAGGAAAAGCAAAAAGAATATCATCACCCCGCACTACCCCGCCAAAATGACTGTCCCAAACTTCGATCACCCCATCGAAACTCCTCCACGAGCCCCTTCTCCAGTTCATCGATTTGGTACTCTAGCAGTCCATGCTGGTTCCCCTCATGATCCTGTCACCGGTGCCGTCATCGAAGCCATCTCCCTCTCCACAACATTTGCACAGACGGCCGTCGGAAAACCTGTTGGCGCATACGAATACAGCAGAAGCTCCAACCCCAATCGTGACAACTTTGAAAAGGCTGTCGCAGCTCTCGAACACGCCAAATATGCTCTAGCTTTCTCTTCTGGCTCTGCTACTACTGCCACTATTTTGCAGTCTTTAGCTGCCGGTTCGCATGTAATTTCGGTATCGGACGTTTATGGTGGAACCCACAGATATTTCACACAGGTTGCTAAAGCTCATGGCGTAAAGGTTACATTTACACCAGAGATTGAGGTCGATGTTGTGGATCATATCACACCCGAGACAAAACTCATCTGGATTGAAACTCCTAGCAACCCAACTCTGCGACTTGTGGACATCAGAGCCGTAGCTACAGCAGCACATGAACATGGCATAATGGTTGTGGTTGATAACACCTTCATGAGTCCTTATGTCCAACAACCATTGGACCACGGAGCTGATATCGTTGTCCACTCTGTTACTAAATACATTAATGGTCACTCCGATGTAGTGATGGGAGTAGCCGCTTTCAACTCCGATGCTATGAAGGAAAGATTGGGATTCTTGCAAAATGCCATTGGTTGCATCCCTTCGGCATTCGACAGTTGGCTTGCTCACCGTGGCTTGAAGACATTGCATCTCCGAGCCAGAGAAGCTACGGTTAACGCAACAATAGTAGCAAAGGCATTGGAGGCTTCACCACACGTTATTGCCGTCAACTATCCCGGCTTGGACTCTCACCCACACCGAAAAATTGCTCTTAAGCAACACAGAGATGGTATGGGAGGTGGTATGCTTTCCTTCCGTATCAAAGGAGGTTCTGCTGCAGCAGAAAAGTTTTGTCAAATGACTAGCATCTTCACATTGGCAGAGAGTCTGGGAGGAGTCGAGAGTTTGGTTGAAGTTCCTAGCAGTATGACCCATGCCGGTATTCCCAAAGCTCACCGAGAGGCCATTGGTGTATACGATGATTTAGTCCGTATCAGTTGCGGAGTTGAAGATGCAGAGGATCTGAAAGCGGATGTTTTGCAAGCCTTGGAGAAAGCTGTTGTCTGGCCTAAAATCTCTAACGGCTTACAGAACCATGCTTCTTAAATCCTGGATTGGGATTGGGATTTTACTGTTGGAAGAATCGCATGCAAATGGATTTGCGAATGCGTGGGCGCTGGCGTTGGGGCATTGTTCGAATACCTCTTATCTCTCGAAATGCTACATCTAGATGATAAACAAATTTACATAGATTTCTTTGCATGGTTTAGTCTTGTGGATTTCCTTTTTAAGGCTTTGAAATTAGACAAACTTAAAATTTCAACACAATATTAGCTGCCACCATCAGAAAGATACTCTGTGAACAATTGCAAATCCTCCAGCAGATAGAATATCTGACGATTTAAATACCCAGAACAAACTTCACCCCTTTACTGACATTACCCAAAAATTCGTCTCCACCCTTGATGCCGGGGAAAAGCCAAAAATAATGCGGTACCCCCTCATAATAATCGCTCTTTGTCTCGATACCCTTATCCTTCAACATCATTTCCAACACCTTACCATCATCCCGCAGAGGATCTTTTCCACACGTCGCAATATAAGTCGGAGGAAATTCCTCCAAATGTTTCGAAAGCGTCACAACTAAACCCATACAAAATATATATTAGTACATCTCCTCACATGAAAAATATTCAACAAAAACACCCAAAGATCCAAAATGAAAAATGAAAAATACAAATACATACACACTCGCGGATCCTGCGGATCCGCCCCCACAGCTCCAAAAAACGTATCCATCGAATCCGCATCAATGACCGGTACGCCGTGCGCATTCTCATCGTAGGATTTATAGTGATTTTTGTAAGACGCGGGGATCGAAGATGGGTGTGCGGCGACGGGGACCATGGCCACGATACCTTTGATTTGGTATCGTTTACCCGCGGCGATGAGATCGTGGGCGACGGTTAGAGCGAGACCGCCGCCGGCGGAGGCACCGATGGTGAAGAGTTGGGATGGGGAGGCGTGGAGGGATGAGGCGTGGGTGTGGGCCTGGTGTGGGGTGAGGTGTGAGTTATTGGAATAAGGAGAAGGGCGGGAGAGAAGAGAGAGAAGAGATGCAGATGGAGAGATTATACATACCCATTCAAAAGCCTTAACGCTGTCATCCAACATAATCGGAACCTTATGTTTCGGACCCAATCTATAGTCCACACTTACAATCACACAAGGGACACTCTTTGCAATGTATCGACACCATACATCCTCCGAATCCAGGTTTCCAACACAATATCCACCTCCGTGAAAATACACTCCTAGAGGAAGTTCTCCATTTTGGGAGGCGTTTGGAGGAGTGTATATACGAACTGGAACGCCATCTGCAGACGTATCACGTGTTTGAACTGAGGTATCGGGAGGGGGTCTTTGGGCACTCAGCGCTGCGATTAGGCCGTTGAATTGCTCTTCGATGTTGGCTGAATCGCCTACGAGAAGGGGACGGGTACCGAGAGCTTTCTCAAGCTGCGAGGATCGAAGTTAAATATGTAGTTTGAGGAGAAGGGGGATGTTGCAAGGAGCTTGTCATGATAAATAGGAAGGGGTATTTACCTCGAGCCATTCGGGCTTGTAATCTGCACTGGATGGATCTCCCATTGTGTAGCTTATCTTTTTTTAATTTCAAATTTTGAAGCGTGGATAGGAATAAGAATGAATTTACAGGGTTGGGGAAGGTCTTGGATATCAATCGAACACCTGAAGCATTCCAACAAAATACATACGAGGAACATAGTACACTATATATACCTCTAACAGAATACAAATCATTGAAATTGAAGACGGAATCAGAAGACTATCGAAATGTTAGTTATCCCGCTATGCAAGCTTCTAGTGCGCCACATGCTCCAAGTGCCAATTTGAGAACAAGCTGAAATTCACTGCGACCATTCAATTACTCGGACCAGCGCGGGACAAAATAGCCGAGCTGCAGAACTCGTTGCACGGAAACATGGATAGACTTCACTTCGCTTAGCTAACTGTATACATACTTAGATCAAGCTGTCCAGTGCGGGGTAATTTAGCGGCAACTTTAGGACTTCGACTCTGCGCTATCCCAGTTCGAAGATACTACAGCATAAGACTTACTTTGATTAGTTGCTTGAGGGCATTGTAACCAGTTCGTCCCTGGGATCTGAACACTCTGAATATTCTGCCTTCACTTCCTGCGCAAGATGCATTGCCTTGGCGTGTAATATTGTTGAGCTACACACAAAAACTCACAGTTTTTTTTGGTTTTTCTGTTTAAGCCTTCGAATGTGAATAAATAGTCTGGTCTAGGAGAATCTTGACTATAACACCACCACAAGACATATCAAAGTGGTAATTCTATTTATTTATCTATATCAAATCATACGATTCGTTTTTCACAGCCACTGGGCTTTTCTTATGTTATGTTGAGTTGATTTCCCCGCCCTAGTAAACGCTTGAGGCAACAGAAAAATGGAAGTTGTTCATTTCCAAAAGATAGCAATCATAAGAGTTTAAGCACCTGTTTTCAAGAGGTATGCGAACCAATAAAGAACCCATTCAGAAAGCCTGCTACTGAGTGTCGGTTGTGTTTCTCTGAAAGCTCTATTATCTGATCTCCCCAAGCTGCTTGGCACCTCTGCCAATTCGAGCATCTTCACTGAATTTTGAGAAATGATTTTTTTGCTTTTCAAACTCACATTCTAGCCTAATTAATTAAATTCGATACCCACTGACTCTATTACCTTCCCAAAAAACCACAGAAACTATAATACATTCAATTTGGTGACTCAGCAAACTTGCCATCGATTCCGTGCCCGTCAGCATGTAAAACTTGCACAAGAGTATCAAGTATTGTTTTTCGTGTGGGATTTGATGAAAATTGTCATAATATGAAAAAATGTTTGCTTTTCTGGAGTGAAATGTAACTAATACAATGAAAAGCCTGCGCGAATAAAGAAATCTCGAGAGGCCAACGAAGTCGTGATCTCGAATGACTGTAGAAGTGTACAGGTGAAAAGAATAAAAGGAAAACCCCCTCAACTCTCCGCCGGTTCCTCCCCAATCAACTAAATTGAAATACAAAGCAAGAATTACAAGGTATAGACTACCAAGCATAAGGGTTCCGGGTATCAGACTTTTGATGAGTACTCGCGCTTTGCCGATAGTGGTGGATGAAAGTGAAAACATCAAACTCATCAAACAATGACTTTTCCCTGATCTCTTCAATCTGCTCCGTCACATTGACTACCAATACATATCGAGTAGGTGCTGAGTGTGCATGATATGTGACAGATTGCAACCGATTGAACCCAGAAAGAAAATGCTCCCATAAAGGAAGATCAAACCTCTCCATATTCGGGTGCATCGGCGTAATCATTTTCCTCAGTTTTGGTTTCGGTTTCTTCTGCTGGTGGTGCACCAACAGAGGAGTTCTCTGGCATCAAACCCTTCTCCTTGAGGTACTTGATAGACTTCAAGATTGTCAAATCATCCTTGGCGGTGTCGTTAAGAATGAGACGTTGAGCAATAGTCATCTTACCACCGTTTAACTCCTTCTCTCGCAAAGCTTGGTTGCGGACGTCTAGGTCGTGAACGAAGCGGCACTTGCCCTTCTTGCCGCAGGTCCCACCAGTAGAATAGTACTTGCAGTGACGTTGAAGCTGGGCTTTTGTTGGTGGTGCTCGTGCGTGCACGATACCAGTAAAACCATTGTTGCGCGATGTCATCGTTTCCGGCTTTCCCGATTCAGAATTAGATGAAGAATCATCATCATCACTCACTTGACCACGATCTTCATCGCCCTCGTCGCCATTTTCACGCTTGCGCTTTCCACCGGACATCTCCTGTTTGATCTTACGTTCAGCTTTCTCAAGTTCTAGTCTGAGCTTCTCGGCCTTGCGTTGCTGTTTTTCGAGTTTGGTCTCTCCCTCATCCTTTTTGGTGGGCTTTGCTTCAGGTTCTTTCTTGAACTTGTGATTTTTGTTTTGTTCACGTTTCAAGCGAAGCTCCTCAGCAGCAGCTTCTCTACGAGCTTTCGTAGGGAAACGACTTTTACGCTCAGCGAGCCATGCCGTGAGATCTGCAGGTAACCTAAAATTCATTAGCAAAAAGAACAAAAAGAACAAGAAGAACTAATCTTCTAGGCCTGCAAAAACATACTGTGGAGTATCTGGACCAAGCAAAGTAACCAAACGAGCTTCTTCATCAACATCATCAATCTCATCATCGCTATCCTCATGATCTACACCGTTTGGTGTCAAACCAAGAGTATTTGTTCTGCGCTTCTTCTTATTCTTCTTCGCATTGTCTCCTGCACCTGCAGGCTTGAAATGCATTGGAGGAGATTGTGAATTGCCATTGAAAGAACGATTGTTGTCGCGACCGCGAAATTGAAAATTATCACCGCGACCTCTACCTCTAAAGTTCCCATTTCCTCTGCCCCTATTAGAGCTGGAGTTGAATGAATGAGAATCATGCGATGGACGCTGTCCTCCATGACCTCCATTAGAGAAGTTTTGGGGGGGATATGCTTGATAAGCAGGCTGAGAAAACGGAGCAGGGGGAGTCTGATGATTGGAATATTGGGGGGTAGGAAAACCATTGCCCGCTTGAGCCATATGATCTCCACGTTCGTTCTCAAATCCCATACGGATCGGAGGACCCATGAGAGGTGCTTCATGACCGCCACGACCATTGTTGAAACCGCCACGACCACGACCTCTATTATTATTATTATTGAACTGATGTTGTCCTTGAGGTGGACCTTGCCATTGTTGGGGTGGGCCACTAGGGTGTGGTTGCTGAGAAGGTGGGCCATAGGGTTGTTGAAATGGTGCAGGTTGCTGTGGACCATATTGTGGTGGTGGCTGTTGACTGAAGCCCTGTGGTGCATAATTTGGATGGTAGTTCTGCGCAGGAAGAGGAACTTGAGGTGGTGGCTGGTGTGCTTGTTGAGGTGGACCGTGATTGTGCTGAGGTGGACCATGCTGACCCTGTTGTTGCCATTGCTGAGGATAATTATTAGGGGGGCCGTTGTGGCCAGGACCTTGAGAGCCACTTGGAGGTCCTATGTAAGGTGCTGGATTATGCGGATTGTATTGGTCACTTGGCGGACCCTGTATCTGCGGAGGACCGTTGTAACCATTTTGATGTGAGTGAGAAGGGCCATTGTGACCGCCTCGCGCTCCACCTCTTGGGGGACCATTATTGCGCGTCTGTTGATATGGAGGAGGTTGCTGATATCCATACTGAGGGTTTTGTTGAGGATATCCTACAGAGAGTGGTCCCGAAGGAGGAGGAGGAGGGGGAGGGAAATTGTATTGCTGGGCACCAGCCATAATGTCGTCGGACTTCGAGTTATTGCGTTGATAAGATGGAGGTTGATCGGGAAGTTGACTTAAATAATGTGAAATCTTCAGAACATGTATATTCTGCGCAGCAGGGGTTTGGTTGATTGTAGGTTGACTGTACTGAACAGCTGTTGGCCCTGAATCTGAAAGCTGTCGCAAACCGTTTTGTGCTGATGGGTGGATCTTCGTTGCACCGTATCGGCCAAAAGGATTTCCGAGTATTGGAATGGGGGCTACTACGTATTAATTGATGAAAACCGATGGCTCAATGAAAGAATTATTGAAAAGGGATGGTGAAGCAAGATGGAAAAGAAAGCTGCCGCGCGCAATTATGATTTGGTCCGAAGGACATCTCTCTTATTATTTAGTGTGGAAATTGTCGCACAACATGAACCAATAGAAATTCTCCCAAACTAGGGGAATTTGGCTGGATTATGTAAGGCTCCTTTCCATCGATTTCTCGATCATGAACTTCAGAGTGAAAAGATCTTAGGATGAATTTTTGGAAAACTTGAAGAAATAATCACATACCCATTTGGAATATTTCCTCCGTTGTTGATGATACCTTTAGAAAGACGTTTTCAAGAACAAAGTTGATCTGGTGGGAGAAGAGGGAAAATTGAGGTAGTCGGAGAAGATTCTTTATTTAGATCCGAGTTGAATTTGGTTCAATTTATTATACTGTCAGAGGAAGCAAGCAACCTCGATCTAGGAAGTCACGTTACATTATTCTGTTTCATTTTATTTTATTCACTTTCAGTTGGTGGCTCGTTGTTGGAGCAGCATCAGCCGTACAAAAGCAAAGAATCATCGTAGGGTAAGGAGCAAGGCACAAGAAGCAAAAGCATTTTTTGACTTAGCCAATAGCCAGCGGGGTATATCATCATGTTCATTCTCGTGAGTCTCTCTTCTTAAATCAGGGGAGAAATCAAATTCTAACCTTTTCAAAGACCAAAATTGCCGATTTAGTTCAAATCGCGCCTCAAGATTTAGGGAAAAATGCTAGTCAAGCAATTGAGGATAACATCAATCTTAAATATGCCAACAAGGTGATTCAAAAGATTGGTCTTTGTATCTGCTTTTATGATCTTCTCTCGGCCTCAGAAGGTTTGATTGGTCATGGTGATGGTCTTGTAAATGTCAATGGTACATTGTTTCTGGGAGTCATCACAGCATTTTATGTTTTGCTAACCACTCAGCAGTTGAATTTCGCATTGTCGTGTTCAGACCTTTCAAGTTTGAAATCATGACAGGAAGAATCAGCAGTTCTATTGAGAGTGGTATTAGAGGTTAGTATATACGTGTGTAGGATGATCAAGCTTCTCTAACAATATCAAGTTCGTACTCACTTTTTTGATGAAATCTTCGTTCCCGCAAAAATGCTACCAGACGGTTCACACTTGTAAGTCGGCCTTGTTCATCCCTCCCCCCTTTTGGTTACTAATAATCACCCAGTAACCACAATGAGCAAGTTTTTGTCTGGGAGACCGAAGAAGGTACACAACTTTACTTCGATAACCAGGAAACAGTGCGATTTCGGGTCGACTCCGAGCAGTGGAATGATCAAGCACCATTGGGCCCTGAAAAGCAAGATGACAGTGAGGAATCACGAGTAATCGAAGCGCCTTACAAGATAGTAGCTTCGATGGAAGAAGTTGGATTGGGGCCTTGCTTATGGTGGGACTAAGGAGAAACGGGCGTTGAAGAAGTTTTAAGGAAGCCAAAAAATTGTGTGGAGCAACATCATATGCATTTCTGGAGTTTAGGAAAGAGTCTAGGATCTGGAGTTCATTGGAATTCAATAGGCTCTTCAGGGCTGTTCTCAGGTATATTGGAATTTAGAAGAAGGAACTCCGACAACTAAGATCGGCGCTAGTCCAAGGGCTCTTATAAATCCACTGTAGTGACACTGCATTCTATATAATAGTTTGTGTACTACTACTGTTCAAAATTCTGCAATTATTTGTGGCTGCCAAAATTTAGAGTCAGATTTCGCTGTGGGCATAAATATACTTTCGTGATTGCACAAAGCTTTATCACCATCTTGGTAACCATAAGACAAACACGCATACGAACTTTATACAATGAAAAACTTTCTTTGGGGCAATATGTACGGGTATTTTTGTAATTGGGGTTTCAACGCTTCTTCTCTTCGTTTTCCTTGTTGAACTTCTCATAATGTGCTACCAACTTCTCCATATCTCTAGCTCTGTGACCTGCTGGAACATTCCATGGGGATCCTGTGTTAAATTGTCTGTAGAAAATCAGCTTCTGAATTAGGTACTGGAGATATTGAGACCAACTCAGGGAATCTAAGATTGACATGTGCACTGCCCACATCACTCTGGAAAAGGTTGCGATCGAAAGCGGCTTGTTCGAGCATAGAAACATGTAGCGCATTTCTTGCGGCCCATTTCTCTTTGTAGTGTGAATAGCTATCGATCAGCTTCGCGAGACCAGAAGGAGATCCGTCGGCGGATGGTTGGGCGTATTGGTAAACTCCAATCGAGATAGGGATAGCTGCGAGGACAAGGAAGAAGCCGGTCTATATCGTGATTAGTCCTATGACTTATGTAGGAGACAATCGAAAGCTCACTCCGAAAGACTCGTTTGTTGGGCCAGCATGATGATGCCCATGTTCTGTACTAGATCCAGCGAAGTGATGTACCTCATCACCGGTCTTTCCATGTTGTGCAGACGACCATCGTCGCGGAACTCGAGTAGACACTCTTCCAACTCGATCGGCAGATTGAACCGCCTTTCTCCTGAGCGCGAACATTTTGTTGTGTATTAATTGACGTTCAATATGTCATTCCTAGAGGTCGTTATGTTTGGAAGTCCCTCCAATTGATGACCTTTGATGACTAATTAAGCCTCAGGCATCCAGTTGAAAGACCCCACAAATTGATTAACCCTCCGAAGGCAAAAGAAAGCGAAACGATTGAATAATAAATCTGTACTTATTTGAAGGCCACTTGTCCTTACGATGACTACAAATAACCCAGTAGATCACCACTTTATTCTTATTGATGCTTTAAATCTGGAGAGTGAATCAGAAGACTCAAATTCAGCAGAATCTCTTGCTTCATTAGAAAGTGATACCGAAGAACGACCACCCGAGAGGATACTCACTGAAATAGTGGGGAAGAACAACCACATCTGGTATCTCGTCAAGTGGAAAGATTGTCCTCTTTTACGTTCCAGCTGGGAAGGAGAAGCGTGTTTTGAAAATTATCCTTGGGTTTTCGATCAGTGGCTAGTTAATAAACAGGGTCAAAAAGAAGGAAAAATTCAACCTTTTGACCTACACGCTTTCGATCAAGCCTGCAAGGACCTCGACCTAGCAGAGAGGCAACGAAGAATTCTGAGACGGTTCAGAAGAAAAGCTAAACGACTTCTATCGGTTGTAGCCGATTGAATAACTCATTTTGAAAAGAGTTACTATTGTACTCGATACATTTCATAAACAATTATAATTTAAAATGGTTAGTGTAGGAACACGCAGCATACTGAGCCTAGCATGGCTCAGTCTTCCAATATTTGCGAGGGCATTCTCGATGGATCCAGAGGCCTCACCATCCGCAAATACCGAGCTCATATGTCCTACAGACAATCAAGCTGAATGTTACCCTCGAATCTTTCAACCAACGAGAGACTTCCAACTCATCAAGCCTGGACAAGATATTCCACCAGGCCTTCACGTTCGGCTAAATATATCTTCTGGCTTGAAAGAAGCTCGCCTGAATATTCCAATGGAAGGTGATGATGTTACGCTGGATCTTGATATACCTACAGAACAAGCCATGGTCGTCATTGAAGGTGCCGAAGTTGAAACCTCGGAAGACCTGCAACCACCCTCAGACGCACCAGCGTACAGTGGCCATGGGAAGATACAGCCCCCACCGCCCTCATCATCTGACTTTGAATCATTCCGAACTTCTCTTGCATCATTGAAAGAGCAAGATATTTCCCTCGATTCAGCCCTGGTTTCACTTTCGGAATTGTCACACGACATTTATTACGGATCTGAACTTATGGCCGACGAGGAGGCAGTTTCTGCCCTAATATGTCTCATGGCCATGGAATCCTCGGGGCCTGGAGATGAAAATGACCATTCAGCCTCCGCCGCTCTCTCCGGTTCTCTACAAAACAATCCTACTGCCATCAGCTCCCTCTCCCTGTTTCACGATATCGTTATGAAACCTACTTGTCCTTTCCTTCGTGAAAATGGATTAAGTCTCATTCCTGCACTCCAGAAAAAGCTGTCAGCCTCCACAACATCACCTTCATCTCTCAAATCTCAAATTTCAGCTCTTAGTGGCCTCTTGAAATCGCCAGAAATCCAAAAGTCTTTCCTTGAGCAAGATGGTACTTCATACCTACAGTCCGTCTTCTTGAAGTCTGGATCTCAATATGACGTCGTTCGAAAACGTATCGTACAGCTTTTGATGGACAACTTCCTAGATGATAGCATGGGGGCGCGGATAGGAGTTTGGCCGAAGGTAGATGTCATCCAGAAGGGGGAGAAGGATTGCAATGGCGACGTTATCAATGATGAATGTTGGGCTTGGTATGGGAAAGAGTTTTATGGAACGGAAGGTGGAAGAAAGGATTGGATGGACGAATTTTTGGAAAAGATAAGTCAGGGTAGTCAGAACGGAGGGAGAGATAGGGAATTATAAATACAGATGTATTGCACGCCTGTTTTTGTATGACTTTATATACAAAATTGAATTAATGACCAATCCACTTCCAGAGGGACCATAGCTGGCAATTTCCTTGTGACAAATAGTAACTTGTGCTGCATTGCGATTCAAGCTTTTTCCCCTGATGTGAAAGATATGCGAGGAAACCAGCTTTCCGGTCATCAGAAGTGTAAGGAGGGATATGAAAAATATCACTGCATTCTCACTTCGAAAATGAGACACCGCATACCCGCCCTAGACTACACCATATCCTGCGGATACCTGACTCCGAGATTCCATAGAACTTTCGAGCCAATCCTACGAATCAACGTACTGACTCAAGCCTATCAGCATTGAGCGCAACCAGCAAAATGCGGTATTATGAGAGAAAGAAGTATTGTAGTCTTGACAACATTATACACTTGAATCCGGAAACTTAAACACGATATGCAAATTTAGAAGAAGTAGACAAGCTTTCTTCGTCACATTCAGATAGTGATATTTCTGTCATCACTGATGATTCTTTGCTATAGTGCAGAGCTCCCGGTGAGGCAGTTGACATTTACACTCAAATTGTACGTTCTGGACCGTGCCCATTCAATACCTTTGCCTGAGGCATAACATACCGACATCATCACTTTTGGGTGGTGGTCAACTCCATTTTCGAGACTCCGTACTCTACAAGCTCTCTACAATATCGAACCTTACTTATCAGCTTCCAGTCTGCCAAAATGTTGTTCTTCAGGTGAGTGCGATCTCACAATCCGCTTTGAAGTTGCAGCAGCTAATATTTCTCCACTACGAATAGCTTCTTTAAAACCTTGGTGGATCACGAAGTTACAGTCGAGCTCAAGAATGATATCCAGATCAAAGGCATATTAAAATCGGTAGATCAATACCTAAACATCAAGCTGGATGATATACAAGTGGTAGAGGAGCTGAAATACCCACATCTGGTCAGTAGTTCAACATGGGCGACAGCAACGCAATGAAATGCGATGGGCTCTGTGCTCTGTGCTTCGAGTTTTGTGATGCTAATGATGCGCGCACAGTCATCGGTCAAGAATGTTTTCATAAGAGGAAGTGTCGTCAGATATGTACATCTTCCTGGCGGCGTAATTGACACAGCACTTCTGGAAGATGGTATGCACCCTATACCGATCGGATACTCTGTATCGAGGCTAATGAACAATTATAGCTACTAGGAGAGAGGCTGCGCAACAGGCGACTAAAGGAAAATGAACGCATACACTCAGAGTGGAAGATAATAGTTGATGTGAATGCTTTTCCTTCGTGGGAAGGATATACGCTACAGATGATATAGAGAGGGCGAATGGGAAGAGGGGCATGATCAACAGGATAGGCACTGCGACCGGCCAACTCAGACCATTCTATGTATTAATGAAGATTTGTGGGAAAGCAAACACGGAAAAGTAACTTCGGCAATACGTTGCTTCGAATTGCTTGGGTTGTAAGGAAAAAACATCAAAATTTCATAATTCACCCCAAATTTGCTGAAAGACTCCCAAGAAAGACAACACAGACACCTCGAGATGTATTGTATAAAGTTGTTTGTGCTTTCATAAAATCCAAAAATCCATGGGAATTTATTGGTTCTGCCCCTCCAAATAAGTGAATGCTTTGTCGCCTCATGTCAGGTGATAGCGTGGACCGCGCACTACTTTTCGTGATTTCTTATCAGACCACTCCAGATGAATCGCCTCTAGACAATCTATCTTTCTTCGGAAATACTGTCACGAGTTCAAGTAATTTGCCAATAACTCTGGACTATAACAATCAATTAAAATCGATTCGAGACTTCCTCATTCTTCAATGGCCTAGACAAAGCAGCGTTAACCTTGCCCTCCATCCTGCATCTTGAAATACAAACAAACCACCACCGATGGCAAACGTTGACACTTCACACTTCTGGTACCGCACAATTGTAAAATACTATGTTCCGAAACCCTCGAGAGAACTCAACTAAATCTACAGACTCTCATTTGAAACCATCCACCGGTAGACCACCTACGCCACCCGGCACTTTCTCAATTCCTCGACCGGTAGTTACAATGGCCCCTCGAAGTACAAACAAACCAACTACCCCGCGACCTGCCAAAAATTCCATTGTCTCTGCTTTCAGCAAGCAATCATCGAAAAAGAGTGCGACAGCAAAAACGCCAGTGAAAGCCAATGGCACTATCCTGAATTTCTTCAAGAAAGTGGACAACCCACTCAAAGACGATGACTCTCTTTTCGTAGCCCAGAGATCTGGCGTGGCATCACATTTTCCTCCTCGCGGACCCAGTCCAGGTCTGGATGAAGGCGATTTGTACGGAGCTAGCGAAGAATTGATCGATGATCGTTACAATGAGACCGAAATGTCGGTCAAAAAGCGTAAACTTTCAAACAGTCCCAAAATTGAAGATTTCGAAAGCAATCTCGCAACGCCTTCAATACCAACCGAGCCATGCACTCCATCAGTCGAGAATCCTTTGACAACTGAAAAGGTAAAAACTGCAATCAGAGCACCACGCCGATCAGGGCCGTTCTTGGATGACTCCGATAGCGATGGAGAGTTTATGGAAGGCCCCAAAACTGAGAATCAAAATCAAGAGCGAACACGCGTAGAGGACAAGGAAATCGGAGATCCTCTCAAAAATGGCATTACAAAATTGAACATTGAGAAGCGGCCCCTCATCGAAGATCCCTCCGTCATAGCAAACACCGACATAGTCTTACCTCTGGAAGGTAGCGTTTTCAAGCCCAGGAAGAAAGTTCCGGTTGCAAGAGCTCAAGCGAAATGGGAAGCATTACAGCCAAAAAGCACAAGGACCATGTCATCATCGGAAGATGAGGAGCCAGAAACGTTGAGAGATTCAAAGTACTTCGATAGTAAGAGCAAAGGGAAGCATGAGTCGGAATCGGATTACGAGGATCCCGATACATCGAAAATCTCAAAAAAGGCCGAAAGTAAAGAAAAGAGCAAAGGAAAACGAAAAAGGAAGAGCAATCTACTCCCAGAAGTTCCAGTCTTAAAGCAAGAGAATACAAGTGTAGATACGTGGGCAACCTTTGAGGATATGGGAGAATTCCCTGATGAAGATCTAGATGGTGAAGAATTTTTAGAGCGCAAATGGATGGAGGAACAAAATAATCTAGAACCCGATGAAGCGCATGAAGATGAAGATTCATTCAACGGATTCGATGACGATGATATCGTCCATGGCAATACAGGAGAAGGAAATGTCTCTGCTTGTCCTCTCTGCGATGCGAACTTGAGCAGCATTACTTCAAATGAAGCCTCAATGCATGTCAATGCGTGTTTAGATGGAAAACCCATACCTCTACCAACGAAGATCAAAGCAAAAGCAAATACAGAATCAAGCGAGGCAAAAGTGGCAATGCCCGAAGTTGCCCGAAACCGTTTTGCTAGGAAAGCGGCAGTTCCAAGACCAGGACAGGTGAACCCAATTGATCTCAACAACGAGGGGGGATCCGCATTTTCTAAAATCATGTCAGGTCACGCAGAAGATGCTGCTTGGGCTAACGCTGCAGATAAGGAAAAGTCGTCTCGAGGAAAGCCTGCGCACCAGAGGACTTGCCCATTTTACAAGATCATGCCTGGGCTTTTCATCTGCGTTGATGCATTCAGATATGGTGCAGTTAAAGGCTGTCATGCTTACTTCTTGAGCCACTTTCATAGCGATCATTACATTGGTCTAACTTCTACCTGGTCACACGGTCCTATATATTGTAGCAAAGTCACTGGCAATCTCGTCAAACAACAACTGAAAGTAGATCCAAAATGGGTTGTATCCATTGACTTTGACGACAAGATCGAAGTGCCTAATACACAGGGCGTTTCAGTGACCATGATTCCAGCTAACCACTGCCCTGGAAGCTCGCTTTTTCTCTTCGAGAAGACTACTGGCGGTGGCCAAAGGCCTAAAGTTCAACGCATCCTTCACTGTGGCGACTTTCGAGCTTGTCCGGCGCATATTTCTCACCCTCTTCTAATGCCCAACGTTGTCGACTCAGTCAACGGGAAGACTAAACAGCAAAAGATCGATGTCTGTTATCTTGATACTACTTACCTGAATCCCAAATACTCATTCCCATCACAAGAAGACGTTGTGAAAGCTTGCGCAGATATGTGTGTCAGTCTCAGTAAAGAAAGGGCAGAAGAAAGTGATGCATGGGAAACAGTCAAGAGAGAACGAGCGGGATCCAAGATGACGAATTTCATCAAGCCTTCTCTGAAGATTGAGGCTGAGGACTCTGACACCTTGGAAACATTTTCTAAGAGCGAGAAGAAAGCTCGAGGCCGTTTACTTGTTGTTTGCGGTACCTACAGTATTGGCAAGGAACGCATCGTACTTGGTATAGCTCGCGCTCTAGATTGCAAAATCTATGCAACTCCAGGAAAAATGCGTATCTGTGCCGCTTTAGAAGATCCCGAACTTACAAGTCGCTTGACATCGGATCCTCGAGAGGCACAAATTCATATGCAGATGCTTATGGATTTACGGCCGGAAACTTTACAAGACTACCTTACTGGCTATAAGCCCCATTTCACACGCGTTGTGGGGTTTAGACCAAGTGGTTGGAGTTATAAGCCACCGAATTCTCGGTTTGTAGATTCTCCGCCGATTCACACAATTCTTACTGCTGCGAATTGGAGATCGGAATACAACATGGGAGAGTTGGTACCACAGAGAGGAAGTACAAAGGAAGCCCAATGTTTTGGAGTACCGTATTCTGAACATAGCAGTTTCAGGGAGTTGACGATGTTTGTCATGGGTTTAAGAATTGAAAAGGTAGTTCCAACTGTCAATGTCGGTAGTGAAGTTGGCAGGAAACGAATGAAGATGTGGATTGATAGATGGCTTACAGAGAGGAGAAAACATGGAGTACTGAGGTTTGGAGATGGGAAGGAAGAGGGAATGGTTCAGTGGTAGGAGGCGGATTATTTGGATACTAATAGTCTCTCAAAAGTGTTAGTCTCGGGTTAGAGGATTTTACAGAATGAACTGTACAAAGCCTCCTAATGTGTGTTTTGAAGAAATATCGACAAACAGTGTTTAAGTAAAAGCATAAGAGGACAGCAGGGAGGAAGAATTGTAGTTAGGTAGTTGATTATGAACTAATGGCAATGTCAGATAAGATGATATTGTGTATATTTCAGTCAATTGCAGGCATCCTACTGACCTATATTCCTACCGAATGTTCTTTGTATTTGACTTTACTGTCATGGGTACTATCAGCCTCTTTTCTCTTGTTCAAAGTGCTAAATCATCGAGGCACACTTCTACTGATTAGGGGTAGCGAGCTCTTGCCACATCTCGAAGAGCCAATTTGAAACTCCAATCACAATCTCTTTACGAGTATCTTGACTTTCTCAGTACCTCTAAGTTATATATTGATCGACACAGGAGCTTTCATTCTCGGTATATACTACACCGACTCAACTTGAGGCTGATGATATTATTTGGTGATGTTTTAATCAAGTTTATAAACAGCTAGCTAGTTAATAGAGTTTACGAAAAATACTAGGGACACCCGTTTCTAAAATTACTGTTTACTATTTATCACTATTGCTAATTGGTAGATCCAAGAACCAACCACCTACCCATCCCATTTTCAACACCAACAACCAACAATAATATACACATAACGCTAATTACATAAAAACCGCGGCCATTCATAAATTCATAAATTCACAAATTAACAAAAATCATGAATCAATCTCCCTAGGGAAAAGTAAGCACAAATTCCACTACCCGAAACCTTGGGATCCCCCTTGTCTCTCACCCCTGTCTGGCTCTCTGTCCTTCCCAATTCCCCCACACACCACATCCACGGCAGACGGATTTTCCCCATATTTTGTGATGGCATGATTTTCGGAGCGGATTTTCAGGGTGCGCCGTGATCGGCGGTCAGATGCAGGGTGATGATGGAATGATTGTCAGGAACTGCGGTGGGATCCTTGTATTTGGGGACCGTTTGTTGGGGTTTGAGGGAGAGGGATGGGTAGAGATGGTGGATGAAAGTGGATGAAAGTGGATGGATGGATGGATGGTTTATAGATTGATGATGATGATGATGATGATGATGATGATGATGGTACGCATATGTGTTGTGTATTATGTACCTATGTACTATGTATGTATGTATGTATGTAAGAATGTATGTATGTATGGATGTATGAACTCTTGTTTATTGATTTCTAGATAATCATA